GTCTTTTTGCTCTTCTATCTTTGCCCATTTCTTTATTTTCAAAAAAGCATCTTGACTCTAAATAATACAATGAATTATTGTCCTATGTCCACCTTCAGGACACTAGTCTTTGGGCAGATTTATCTTTATTTCCTGATTTTTGTTCTTAATCCATTTTTTTCATTCTTAATGGAAAAGTTAAGAGTCATACCCTTCATTTCCCTCATTCCAAGTCTTCTGGCATTCTACCTTAAGAGAATAGCAGGAAATAAGTGAGTTTTGCTCTGCTATTCCATGAGAAAGAGCTGAGATGGTCCTTTCAGAGGCAGCTGCTACTCTGTTTTCTGTCTTGGAACCTTTTGAGTGAAGCCCTATCATCTCAGGTGGTTTGTCATCTCGATGTCTGTGACAAAGCAGACACCAAAGAATAGTCTGCTGCTACAAAGAACATATCTTTCTACTTTACAATCTCTCCTTAATTTTTAAGTACAGAGCTTTACAACAGATTTGACCATAAAGTACCCCAGTTCAAACACAGCAAATATATGTTAAATGCCTACTATGTGTAAAGCACTCTTTTAAACAATGATGTTACAAAGCTAAAAGAAAAAAAATGGAACAGTCCAAATTCTAAAGGAGATTGTATAATTTTATAAGGGTAATTAGAATATAGAGAAAGTTAGGTGGCACAGTGGATAGAACACTGGGCTCTAAATCGGGAAGTCTCATCTTCCTGAGTCCAAATCTGGCCTCAGATGCTTACCAGTTAGGTGACCCTGGGCAAGTCACTTAACTCTCTTTGTCTCGGTTTCCTTATCTGTAAAATTAGCTTGAGAAAGAAATGGCAAACCACTGCAGTATCTTTGCCAAGAAAACCCCAAAATGGGGTCATGAAGAGTTAGATATGACTTAAAATGACTCCACTACAACAACAACAAAATCAGAATATATTCAAGTAAGTGTGAAGTAGTATGAATGTGATAAGAGCAAAGGAAAAGTCCAAAGTATGTGATATAACAGAATGCAGCGGGGGGTTGGGGAGAAATTATTTTCATTATAATAAGGAAGTAGCTGCTGAATTGAGTCTTGACAGAAGAGGATTGCAACAGCAATGATGTAGAGAGCATGCTGGTCAAGTATGGGGGAAGGCATGCACAAGTATGCAAAGGTGTAAGAGGCAAGGGGGCTGCCTTTGCAGCTGTGTTGAGTTTGAGTTGGACAGGAGATGGACACGAGTCAGGGAGATCATTCAAGAAGCTGTAGCAGGCCAGGCAAGAGGACCTACAGGCCTTAACTAATATCAGAGAGGCAGTTTGAGTAGACAGGAGAGGATGGGATGGGAAAGGTAATGCTCAAGAAAGACATGGCAGGATTTTAAAAGCAGCTTATTAAATGTGGAGTGTGATGAAAGGGAAAGAAACAAAGAGTACCCAGGCAAAACGCATTTATTCAATAACCTACTATTTGCAAGCCACTTTTGCGAGGTGCTGAAGAAGAGAGTATAAAGAACGAAACAATTCCTGTTCTCAAGGAGCTGACTGAGAAGTTTTAAGCCTTGAGGACTGGGAAGATAGTACTTCAATGGATACAAATAAGGACATTGGGAGGGACAAGCAGGATGAGATCAGCTTTGGACTTTTGGATTTGAGGTAATATTGAGACACCAGCTGGTGAGGCAGAGTGGATGATAAATGGATGGGCTTGGAATTGGGAAGATCCGAGTTCAAATCTAGCCTTAGACATTTAGTAGCTGTGTGATCTTGGACAAGTCATTTAACCTATGTTTTCCTCAGTTTCCTCATCTATAAAATGGGGGTAATAACAGCACCTACCTTGCAAAAGTTGTTATGAGGATCAAATAGGATAACTAATATTTATCAAGAGCTTAGCACAGTGCCTGGCATATCAGTAGATGCTTAATAAAAGTTTATTCCCTTCCCTGTTCCTATTTGTGTGAAGTTATTCAGAAGGCAGTTGGAAACATGAAACTAGTATTGAAGTAAGAGGCTAACATTTGGATACAGATTTGGAAGTTGCTGCACAGAAGTGGTGAATGAAGCCATGAGGATGGATAAGAAGGCCAGAAGGCATAGTGCAGATGCAAAAGAGGAGAGGGTAAAGAAGGCCAGAGCTTTGGAGAACATCTACACTTAGAGAAAGATGAACCAGTAAAGAACATCCAGAAGGATGAGTCAGAACTAGAGGGAAAATAAGGAGAAAGCAGTGTCACTGAAGTATGAACTATGGAGGTGGTGGAGGTAGATAAGTAGACCAGCCAGAAGGAGAACTACAAATGCCTAAGAATGGTCAAGAAAAATGAAGACTGACAAAAGGCTGTTGGATCTGAGAATTGGAAGTCACTGGTGACCTTGAAGAGAACAGGATTGTTTAAATATGTATATTTTATTTCAATATATTTCTCATTTGTCTGGAAGATAAAGTACTCCAGAAATGATGGTGTCCTTGTGGGGGCCTTAAAAAGTAAAAAAAAAAAAAAAAGAAGTAGCTAGAAGGCGAAAGAATTTAGGAGAGAGGAATAATCCATCCAATATGTTCCACTTAGGTATGGTACAACTGTTAAATTATACATTAACTTATGATCACAAATACCACATAAAAGCATCAATACGAGGATCGTAAGTACACCCAAACAGTCATTTCAAATGATGGGGATTAATATCAATAGCAACACTAATAATAATAGATGATGAGTCCCACAACATGAGAACAGAGAAAGCAATGGCAATCATATAAGGGTTAGCAGCATTGTATGGGCCATGGAGGATGCACTGGATGAAACGTTAATAAATCTTTACTATCATGGACATGCAAGATTTTTAAATTCATTACAAATCTCCACACAAATACCACAGCCAGAGATGGGGGGAAATGGAAAATTTTGGACACATGTTAAAATCTTTATCATTCTTATGAGTCATAGAGTCTTTAAAATTCAAATAGAAAAAAAATAATATAAGGCTCATGCTTAAGCTCTAATAGTAAGAGATGAAAAGCAGCCAACATTTTCTTATTGTTTTTTGATAAGGAAAAGAAACATCAACCCTTCAGGACTGAGCTATTGATTGTACTCCCCAGTTTACACCTCACACTAAAAATTTAGAGGGCTGGGAATGAATGAATGAATGAATGGTAGGTGGTAGGCTGGCTGCTGCATGTGTGGGAAGGACTGCCGTACTTCTTCATGGGGTCTCATTATGCATGACATGCTTCAGACTGGCACTCGGTGCCTCCTCATCCATTCTGTAATCAACAGTGGGATTTCTGTTTGACAGCATGTGGAATGAAGTTTTTTTGTGTGTTTGGATATGAACTGGATGCTAACATTTCTTTTCTGGTATGCCCTGAAAGATAACATAAATGTATTGTGTTCGTATCATATAATTTATGTTTATGACATTTCTTTCAGTTTAAAGTGTTGTCATGGATATATCTAGATGTGATGATTCTGCTGCAATTCTGCCATAATTATGCTGCTAGGTGAACCTGTAATATCCCTGCCACCTGCATTCTGATTTTCAAACACACCTCATAAAGATGCAATCAGAAATTATTTTTAAAGAGCAGGGTTGTTTAAGGAGTGGCTACTTTACCTGTGTGTATATGCAAGACCCTTGTTTAAGTGCTGTTACTGAACAAATAGAAGAGGCCTTGATGTGTGAAACACATGGCAGAGAGATACAGGCAAAAGCTAGGATGGAATAAGGTTACTTGAAATAATGACTAGTGCATCTCTCTCCATCCAACTCACCTCACGAAAGTAACGAAATCCTTCCTGTGTGAGTGACAATAGGGTCCTTGTTATTCCAGATCTTTTTCAGATCTATTCTAGAAGTATTAACAAGGCAAAAAGAATGGGGGTATTTTTGTATCGGCCAATGATTAGCTGGGATAAGCCACTTAGCTTAAACTACTTCATGGAAAAACCTTACTGATATCTAAATGAGCCCCAAATTTCTTAAATCTCTACTTCAAGAATAGCATAATTAGCCTAAATTATGTACTAGAAGGAATTAACATTGAAATTGTTCCTTATTTTTTCTCATTGTGGTTTCAATCAAGGAAGTAGATTATGAAAGGTATGGAAGTAAAGGCAGTGAATAACCTGAAGAAGGTTAATAAAGTCTACTCAGAATTTGGCATCCTGTTTGATTTTGAAAACTTATCATCAGTAATGCTCATAAAATTTGAGGATGTCAAGGGGCAGCTAGGTGGCGCAGTGGATAGAACACTAGCCCTGAAATCAGAAGGACCTGAGTTCAAATCTGGTCTCAGACCAAACACTTGACACTTACTAGCTATGTGACCTTGGGCAAGTCACTTAGCCCTAACTGCCTAAAGATAAAAAAAAAATTAAAAAAGTTAAAATTAAAATTTGAGGATGTCAAATAAGGCTGTGCATGCACCAAGTTGAGCCTAGAAATTCTGATTAATAGAAGATGATGAGTTGGCCATGAGCTAATTTTAGAAAATCAGATCGTATCAAAAACCTGTTAAATGCTAATGGATCTTATGTCCCCAAAAGACTGCCCTCACATCCTATCTAAATGCGGTTTTTCCAAGGGACCATCTTTAAACATATACCCACACTTATACATAAAGAGACAGGGATGGTGGTGATAGACCTATTCATTTACAACAGAATGAGAATACACTGATGTATGCTGAAGTTGTTTTGTATTACTCCCTTCTACTTTCTTCTCATTTAGTCATATTTTTATTCCCAGCTGACATTTTGATGTCACCATTGTCAACACAAATTAGTATAATTCCTCATGTTGGTACGAAGATCCAGGATCACAGGCATTGGTGCAAAATAGGATTACTCATTAAAACAAATATTTGCTGCTATGTATCTAAGGGAAGAAGCAGGTGGTATTTATTGTTCACATTTAGGAAGGAAGGTATTTGGAAGAAATAAAGTATATGAAGAGTACTAAAACACCAGAGTTGAACATATACCCAGTATTTTGCAAATACATCTAATCTGTTTCAATTTTTAGTTTCCTGGTTAGTTTCATGGTGGATGCCCGAGGTGGTGCTATGCGTGGTTGCAGACACAATGGACTCAGGATTATCATTCCACCTCGGAAATGTACTGCCCCAACACGAGTCACTTGCCGATTAGTCAAACGCCATAGACTGGCCACAATGCCCCCGATGGTGGAAGGAGAGGGCCTGGCCAGCCGTCTGATTGAAGTTGGACCTTCTGGTGCCCAGTTCCTTGGGTAAGGGTTTTTAGTGAATCTTTCTGTCAATCATGAAAAAGTTTACATCTTCTAAGTGAGATTCTAGAAATGAAACTGAAAATGTATTTTGGGCCAGTCTGAAAACAGACATTGGGCATACCATAACAAAGGTAATAGCCCATTAATGATTAATGTGATTGTGAATGCCTTATAATTTGGTTCAAATGGCAATTTTAATTATTTAGTTCACTATTTTTGTAACGGATTGTTTCAATATCACAATTATTGCTGGGTTCCTAACATAAAAGTCATGTTCTTGCTGGCGGTAAGTAGTTTATATTTAAAACATACCTGTTTAGTGCAAAAAAAAAAAAAACAAAATCCAAAATTATTGTTAAAGTCTGCTCTAGGTATAACCCTGAATCACTGGACATGGACCTTCCAGGTGCAAAACTATATTACCTTAGGATGAAGTTTCTTAACCTGGGGTCTGTGAGCATTTAAAAAAAAAATTGGGTGTGGGGGATGTAACTTGTGTGTTTTATTTTATGTGTTTAAAGACATTATTCTGAGAAGGGATCCATAATACAAAAAAGGTTAAGAACCTCTTCCTTAGGACTTCCAAATAACTGAGCCTTTGTGATTCAAACCACTCCCTATCCCCTCACCCCCAATCAAAATTGCAACTTGGAGCCTTAGAATTACTATGGCAGTTTGTTTAGTCTTACTTTACAGGAACATTGGAAGATCAAGACTAACTCCTGCCATGCTCATTTTAGCAATTTTGAACCCAAACCAGCATTTCTCCAGTCTTTTGTTTCTTTGTTCAGCTGCTATTATATGAAGTGGTATCATCCCAAGGTGCCAAAAAAATGAATAGCAACTGCTGAAAACTGGCAAAAGAATGAAACTGGGGGAGAGGGAAAAGTTTCAAAATGTTTTGAAACGAATCAATTGTATTTAAGTCCTATCGTTACCTGCTTAAGCCTGAAATGCCAGGAAGGAAGCCTAGGGACCAAGAGTCCCCTTAGCTTAATTTGACTGTTGCTGCACCCAGTGTTTCTGCTTGAGAACCCAGCCAGTTCTGAAGCTTTGAGATCCGGTGCAGATCTCAAAGCATCAAACAACTTTCACAACTGGAAATAGGTTTATCTGTATTTCCTAATTACAGAAGCCATTTTCCATATCCCTTAAAAAAAAATAGCAACTGGCCAATTCTGGGTTCAGTCATAAATTTCTCTAATGCTTAGAATCATTCCTTGCTGTTCTTTCTCCATATCAATCCCTTTTCTTCTCTCACACCCTTAGTTGGTTCCACCATTTTTTTTAATATTGATCTCTAAGTCTATCAAGAAATATCCATGAAAACTCATCTGAACCATTTCTACAGAGCCAAAGTTTTTATAGCATCCCTAACAGCTTGGTCTTCTCCCGTGGGGTAAACTTTCTGAGGAGTGTCCTAGCAATGAAAATGGATAGTGACAGGTCTACCAAAACAGATGCTTTCCCACTACATTTGCACCTCCACAGTACACCTGGGCTTCAATTCACTAGGCCTTGTGAGTAGTGGAGGGGGCAGAACCCAAGGCAGTGTGAAACTTACTCCATTCTGTTGATCAGATGGTGACACTGGTTTCTGTGGAGGAAAAGAAAAATACATCAAGCTTACTTATGTTCTTTCTTTCACTGCTGCTTTGGATGTACTCAGTAAACTTCACCTGCCAACGGCTCCTCCCCCACTTAATGAGGGAGAAAGCTTGGTCAGCCGAATCCTTCAGCTGGGGCCTCCTGGAACCAAATTCCTTGGGTAGGAGCGACTTAAAACAAATTGATGGTTGCTGGCCTTCCCATTCTTCTCTTTCTTCTGCAATATGATTTCTCTTTATGTCATTGTGCCCATGACACTGTCCCTCTATATGATTTAAATTCTGTATATCTACCTTTAGCGGGCCATTTCTGACTCTTGTGGCGTGTGGTTATTTTTTGTTGTTGTGTTTTGAGTGATATGTTTTAATACCTTTTTTTCTTGAAGTTCTGTGACTTTTTTTTTCGTTCAAGCATGAGATCTGCCTAGTTGTACTATGTGCCATTTATGGTGTTGTCGGATTGAATGTAAAGTCTGTAGCAAAGCAACCTGGATTTGAATCAGAAGCCGTAAGGAAACCTTGTATGCTAAGAGCGTATAACGTTAAAAAAAAAAAAAAGCCAATACTCTCTATGGGATAGTGCATCCAGTGGAAGTTAATGATAATAGGCATATGACACAATTGGGCAGAGTTGATCATTCCCATTTGTTAGTTTCATATTGTGGAGATATGCCTATTTTTTTCCTTGATTGGAGAAAATACAAGCAATCCATGAATGCATGACTCTCCATAAATAATGAAATCTTTCCACATCACCTTATCTGTAGTTAAGAACATCAACCTGTGAAGCATACAAGCCAGCCATTTTCCCTCTTAAACTACCATTTGTCCTTTCTCGTCTGCCACCCTGTACCTTGTTTAAAATGTTTTAAAGACAAATAGAAATCGTAGAGCTGCCCATGAGTTTATTTGATTAAATGTATTTTCCACATATTTACAAAATGATGGGTCCAGGATTCACACATGCATTCATAGTATAGCACCATTTGACTTAAGGCAACATTTACTTGAGGCTTGGGAGGGTGGGTGAGGGTGGGAGTAGTTCCTCACTCTGATAGCCGTCCATGATGTGCCTGCCACTAGAAAGAGAGTCATTCCAGGTCTCTTTGGAACAGACAGAATAGAACTTCTTACTTTACCCCTGGGGAGCTCTTCCCCATATTTAACATCCTATGTTGCTGTACCAGGCCTGTAATTGTGGAGATCCCTCATTTCGCGGCCCTTCGAGGAAAAGAGAGGGAACTGGTGATTCTTCGAAGTGAAAATGGAGACAGCTGGAAAGAGCATTATTGTGAATACACAGAGGATGAATTGAATGAAATCCTCAATGGTATGGATGAAGGTAATGAGTTCTTATAGTTCAAAAGAGGCAAAGATGAAAGCATTAAAACAGTTTTTAATCTTTTTTTTCCAGTCTGACTCTTTATGACCGCATTTAGAGTTTTCTTGGCAAAGATACCATTTCCTTCCCTAGCTCATTTTACAGATGAGGAAACTGAGATAAATAGTGTTAAGTGACTTGTCTAAGGTCACCAACTAGTAAGTGTCTGAGGTGAAATTTGAACTCAAGTCTTCCTGACTTCAGGCCTGGCATTCTGTCCACTGTGCCACCTAGTTGCCCTAAAGCAGTTTGATCTCATTTAATTTTTTTAAATTAAATTTTCTTTTAAAATATTAACAAGATTTATTTTCTCTATCCTCCACTCCCTGGAAGGGAACAAAATAACCTTTTAGACAGATATGCACATGTAGTCAAGATAAAACAAATTCTCACACTGTTCATTTCCAAAAGTGTGTTTATCATTCTGCACATTTCATTTCTCTTTGCTGTTAGGAGATGAATACCATTCTTCATTACTCATCAACTTTCTATGACCTGACAGATCTACTTTTTAATCTTAAAAAAAAAAAGTTGGAGTTATAAGAATCAAAGATAAACATTGCAATGATGATATGCTGCAAACACTTCAGTGTGGGGAGGAAAGTGCTAGATTTGGAATTAGAGACCTGGGTTTGAATTCTGGCTGTGACATTTACTAGTTTAGGTGAACATGAGAAAATCGTAATTTCCTCATTTGTAAAGCAAAATTTTTCAAGGCATCATCCCTCTGTTGCCTTTGTAAATAATTTTAAGACCACTGTTCTTTCTTTAAATTCTCCCGTTAGAAGTAGAAAGTTAGCAGTGGATCGAGCACCGTCCCTGGACTCAGGAGGACTTGAGTTCAAATCCAGCCTCAGACACACATAACACTTACTAGCTGTGTGACTCTGGGCAAGTCTCTTAACCCCTATTGCCCAACCAAAAAAAAAAAAAGAAGTAGAAAGTTAAAATACAGTACTGGACTAGGGTGGAGAGGTCCTGCTATTTTCATTTTTCTTGTGACCTCTCTTTACTTTAGATTATTCTCACAGGCCCAAATACATGAAAATATTTTCTTTAAGATATCCTCGATTTGTAAAAATGGGTCATTTCTTGTCTCAGTGCTCGATAGCCCAGAAGATTTGGAAAAGAAGCGTATATGTCGCATCATCACCAGAGACTTCCCACAGTACTTTGCCGTGGTGTCCCGTATCAAGCAGGACAGCAATTTGATCGGACCAGAGGGAGGTGTGCTAAGCAGTACCGTGGTGTCCCAAGTGCAGGCTGTGTTCCCTGAGGGAGCGCTAACAAAGCGGATCCGTGTTGGTTTGCAGGTATCTATAGCATTTGGCATGCCAACAATTCTGAAGAATTTGGGTTTTGTGGTTGTTCAGTCAATTCAGACACGTCTGACTCTTTGTGACCCCATGGACCACAGCATACCAGGCCGTGTTATCCTGCACTATCTCTTATATGAATTTGGTTATGCTAATAAAATCTGTAAAGGTATTAGAGGTACACTCAGTAATATACAGTTAATCACAAAGCTCTTTGAAAATATGAACACTCGTGTGAATTTAGATAATGAAGCTTTCTGTAAAATTACTTCAGAAATAAATCAAACTAACATTTAGGAAGAGGTAGAGGATTGGGTTTTAGGGGGGTTGAGAGATGTTGCATAATATGATTCAGTGTTAAATTTTATTTTCAATGTTTTTCCCTCGCTTTGGAAAGGCCCAACCTATGCACAATGAACTCATTAGGAAGATCCTGGGCAATAAAGCTACTTTCAGTCCAATAGTCACTTTGGAACCCAGAAGAAGAAAATTTCACAAGCCAATCACAATGACAATTCCTGTCCCCAAAGCCTCCAGTGACGGCATGCTGAATGGTTTCGGGGGTGATACACCTACTTTAAGGTTACTATGCAGCATAACAGGTGAGTTATAAAGACATCTCCACTGAATTTATGCTAGATGCATGAAAATGCTGACTTAGCTTGCCTTATACTATTTAAATAATACTAGCTAATAATTATTTAGTAGTTATTACATGCCAGGCACTGTGCTAAGTGCCTGACAATTATTATTTAATCTCATCCTCACAACAACCCTTGGAGATAGGTGCTAAATGAAAGAACTATAGAAACATGGACTAAAGAAATTTTAATTAGTCATCACCTGGTGAAGGTTTTCTTTTATATCTTAGAGGGAAAAAAAGTAATTACAATGATCTGTTGCTCAGCTTTTTAAAGCGAAACTTTACAATTCAGAATCTTTTCCATCTTTAGATGTGTCTATATGAATGATCATTTTAACAGAATTTATTTTTTCAGTGCTGAAGTTTATTTATTAATGACTCAAATTTCCCCCTTTTTCACTTTTAATTTTGTTATGTGGACGATATATTGATGTAGATTTAGACACATGCCATAGACCAGCTTGCTCAGAAAATAGCCTGTATCCACATAACGCTAACTCATTTGAAAGAAAAAATCAGGCAAACAACTCTGAGGTATTTTGGGGTGCCATTCCTTGATGGATGGGATAGTTAATCCAGTGGTACAGATTATAATCTATGTATCCCTTTTTATCCTGTCTTAAGTACAATCTTCTTGCAAATGCAATCAGAAATGATACAAAATGGTAATTTGCGTAAGTGCTATGAATCAACATTAAGTGACTGCTAAGTAGCAAACACTGTCCAGGGAGCTGGGGATGAAAATGTAATGAAGCAGTCCCTGCCCTCAAGGAGCTTACTCTCTACTGGAGGGGTTAGAACATATAATTAAGGATTTATAGTAAAATAAACACATAGCAATGGAGATATTAACAGCTGAGATAAACAGGACAGGCTTTTTGAAGGAGATGGAATATGGCCTTGAAGGGAGCTAGAGGTCAGGAGGAAGACCATTGCAGATATAGGAGATAGACTTTATAAAGGAATAGAGTCAAGAGATGGAATGTATGGGCAACAGAAAACAGGCCAGTTTGGCCAGAACACAGAATGTTTGGAAAGGAGTTGCATGCAGTCTGTCTGGAAAGAGCTCATGAAGAGTTTTTAATGCCCAACAGAGGAGTTTGTATTTTATATGAAAGGAAATCACTGAATCTTCTTGAGCAGAGAAATGACATGATCAGGCCTGAAATTTAAGAATATTGTTTTGTCAGTTAAGTGAAGGATGGGTTAGAGAAAGGAGGAAATGATGGCATGGAGACCATTTGGGAAGTTATTGCAGTACTCAAGGTAAGAGGTGATGAGGGAGTGAATTAAAGTGGTTGTGGTATGAATAGGTGGGAATGTGAATCAGCAAGACTTGGGAAGCAATTGGCTGTAAAGTTTGATTGGGCATGAAGAGTCAAGAATGACTCCAATATTGAAAACCTTGGTGATTAGAAGAATAAAAGTGCTACTGACAGAAATTGGAAGTTTGTAGGAGGAATATATTGGGGAGGAAAGAGAATGAATTCTATTTTAGACTAATTGAATTTGAGGTACCTCTTGGACGTCAAGGCAGAGATATCAGGCAGTTGGAGATAGATACTAAAGTGTGATCTGAAGATTTGTGAGTCCCCTATATATAGATGATATTTGTGTCCGTTAGAACTGTTGAGATCATCAAAAGAATACAAAGAAAAAGAGAAGAGGGCCCAGGATAGGACTCCAGGGTGTGTCCATGCACAGGGGGCAAGTCATGAATGATGAGCCTGTAAAGACCAGCATGGTCTGATAGGAAATGAATCACAACAGAGCAGCATCGTAAAAACCCAGAAAGGAGAATATAACCAAAAGGAATAGATGGAGAGCAGTGTTGTCTATTGCAGAGAGGTCAAGAAAAATGAGGACCGAGAAAAGGCAAATGAAAAAGAAACAATATTTTTATTGTCCTTCCAGTTCATTATTAAATGTCTTCAGTATGCTTTGTCTTAACTTAGGTCTCTTGCCAAGCTTTCTGTAAATATATTTTTCCAGGCAATACTGTTATAATCACCCCCCTTCTCCATATAACTTTAAAAATAATTTCATGTTCTAAATAGGGGTTGCCTTGGCAAGGAAACTGTGTTTGATTTATGTCAGTTATACTTCTTTAGGAAATGAGGAGGGTCTGTTGTTTTATCCATTTCAGATTCAGGGCAGTAATGGAACATTTAAGTAGGTCAGGTTGGAATTACTTTTGGTGCATATTCTCATTTTCATTAGTTATTGATTTTGATTATATTATAACAAGTCATTGTTGATTTGGCAATGACTTCCATGTTCTTAACTGTCTGATTCCTATCTGTTTAAAAAGAAAACCATCTTTTTAAAAATAATGTTATTTAGGGCGTCCCTTTTTAGCACTTCCTAAATATCTGCTTGATATGTAGGAGTACAACTTATATATATACACACATTTAAATATTTCCCTCATTAGAATGCAAGCTCCTTCAGCTAAGGGACCATATTTTTGCCTTTCTTTGTATCCTCAACCCTTAGCACAGTGTTCAGGACAAAGTAAGCCAGCACTTAATCCTTATGGATTGATAGATGATTAAGAATACCATAGGTTGCTTTGGCATGGTATGCACACAGCATTCTGGAACCTCTGGTTTTTCCATATTTACTCAAAATGCTCAGCAAGGTTAATTGTGCTATCAAATCTCTAATAGGAAAAAAAATTATAAATGTTTATATATTAATACTTCTACTGATGTAGAATTAATAGTCTCCACTTTGGCCAGGTATTTGTTTAATTGGAAAATGTACCTGATTCAAATATAGTCTTCAGGGGCTAACAATTAATGTTTAAGCCAAAATTTTAATTATAAAACTGATACCACAATGATCCTTGGCATGTAACTATCTCAGCCCTATCTCTTATAATCCTGTGGATGGAGCTTTTTCTGATCCTTAATTTTTGTTTGTCTGCAATTGTTATTATTTCAGGTGGAACGACTCCAGCACAGTGGGAAGATATCACAGGGACCACACCACTCACATTTGTCAATGAATGTGTTTCCTTTACAACTAATGTGTCTGCCAGGTATGGTGATGCACAGGAAGTCCCTGCTCCTGACTTTGTTTTATTCCATTCTCTCTGAGAAAAAGACTAGATACTTTCTTATGTACAGTGGGTTTAATTTTATATGTTAAGTTAGATTTCTCAGGAGAACTAATAGTGATGACATAATGAAAAACATGTCCCATTAGAGTCCAATATAAGGAAAACGGATAGCTTCCCATTCTAACTTGTTATGATTTGAGAAGCATCCAGTAGACTTTTCCAAAGACTCACAGGTCTTAAACATGAGTTTCCTGCTGTCAGCAAAATGACCAACATTGCTTAAAACAACAAAAGTATATGAGTGAATATCCTATGAATGATAACTCACAATTTTAAAACAAAATGTAAAGGGCCTTCAAAAGTTTGTTCCTACACACAACAGTTGATTTGCAAAACTGGAGAAACTGCAGGAGTATAAGAAAGTTGTTGAGTTGTGTCAGATTCTTTGTGACCCCATTTTGGGATTTTCTTGCAAAGATACAGGAGGGGCTTGCTATTTCCTTCTCCAGGAAACTGAGGCAAACAAGGTAAAGTGACTTGCTCAGGGTCATACAACTAGTGTCTGAAGCCAGATGTGTATTCAGGAAGATGAGTCTTCCTGACTCTAAGCCTGACACTCATCTACTGCAACACCTGGCTGCCCAGCGTATTAAAAGCAACCAGTTATCCGTATGAGGTTTTTTTGTTGTTTTTAAAATATTCCTTACATATACTTGTAGCATTCATATAGAACTTTAAGGGTTGCAAAATACTTCGCATATCTGAGTCTCATACAGTTTTATGAGGGAGGTGCTACTATTCAGCTCTTAGTTTTATTTATTACTTCAATAGTTTTCTTAATTTCAACTTTATTAATCTCTCCTTCGATTTTCAGCATTTCTAATTTGGTATTTAATTGGGGATTTTAAAATTTTAGATTTTTTTAGTTGCATGCCCAATTCATTGATCTCTTATTTCTCTATTTTATTCATGTAAGCATTTAGAGATATAAAATTTCCCCTAAAAAGTGTTTTGGTATGTTGTCTCATTATTGTCATTCTCTTTGATGAAGTTATTGTATCTATGGTTTGTTGTTTGACACACTCATTCTTCAGGATTAGTTTCCAATTAATTTTTAATCTATCTTTCCATAGCTCTTTATTACATGTAATTTTTATTGCATCATGGTCTGTAAAGAATGCATTTAATATTTTTCCTTTCTGCTTTGGATTATGAGGTTTTTATGCCCTAGTTAGTATATGCTCAATATTTGTGTGGGTGCAATGTGCTGCTGGGAAAAAAGTATATTCCTTTCTATTCCCATTCAATTTTCTCCAGAGGCCTACCATATGTAGCTTTTCTAAAATTCTATTCACCTCCTTAATTTATTTCTTGTTTATTTTTGTGGTTATAATTATCTAGTACTGAGAGGGGTAGGTTGAGATCCCCTATATAGTTTTGCTGTCTTTCTTCCTGTAACTCCCTGAACTTCTCCTGGATGCTATACCACTTTGTGCATATGTTTAGTACTGATTTTACTTAATTGCCTATGATACTATTGGCAAGATGTAGTTTCCTTCCTTATCTCTTTTTATTAGATCTATTTTTGCTTTTGCTTTGTCTGAGGTCAGGATTGCTGTTCCTGCTTTTTTTTACTTCAGCTGAAGCATAATATATTCTGTTCTAGACTTTTACTTTTAACTCTGTGTATCTTTCTGCTTCAAATATGTTTCTTGTAAACAACATATTATAGGAGTATGGTTTTTAATCCGTTCTCTATCTGCTTCTGTTTTATGGGAGAATTCATCCCATTCACAGTTATGATTACTGTGTATTTCTCTCCATACTGTTTCCCCCCCCCATTTATACTTTTCTTTCTCCTTTCACCCTTTCCCCCCTCACCAATATTTTGGTTCTGACCACTTTCTCCCTTTTCTTTCTCCTCCTCTGTAGAGTAAGATAGATTTCTATAAGCAACTGAAAGTATATACTATTCCCTCTTTGAGCCAAATCTGGTGAAAGTAAGGCCCAAACAATTCTTGCCTCCCTCCCTCCCTTTTCCCTCTACTGTAATAAGGCTGTTACCTCTTCTGTATAACTCAGGGGTCAAACTAGTTAATCCTAACAGTATCTTCCACCACTTTAAAATTCTTTGATTCCTGATAGTGATTGACAAGTTGAGGAGACACAGGTTACGGAGAGGAAATGCAGTTTTGTATTTACCATCGATTGGTGTTGGGGGTATGTAATATAAATTTAAGTTGTTTCATAGGTAAAACATTTTTTTGAGAACTGACCAAAGGAAAAGGTCAAGGTTATAAAGGTCTTTTTAAAACTCTTGCAACGTTCTTAATAGTACAAACTTTCAGATGATTTATGAAAGAAGCCCCTTCCCCTTAAAGGGACAACTAAAATATTCAAGAACTTTTCCTTAAAGATGTGATCATATTTCATCCATCTCCACTCTGCATTTATTGAACAACTACAATGAGTGAAGTACTTACTAGTTTTATGTTGTTTCTTTCTTTAGGTTCTGGTTGATAGACTGTCGACAAATTCAGGAATCTGTTACTTTTGCTTCCCAAGTGTATAGAGAGATTATCTGCGTACCCTATATGGCCAAATTTGTAGTGTTTGCCAAATCACAGGATCCCATCGAAGCACGGTTGCGATGCTTCTGCATGACTGATGACAAAGTGGACAAGACTCTAGAACAACAGGAGAACTTTGCTGAGGTCGCCAGGAGCAGGGATGTGGAGGTACTGGATGCACAAAGCCAGATGGACCCCTTGTAACTATCCAACCTAAATAGATTGAAAGCAGAATGAAAATAAGATGAGTCCAGACTGAACAAAACAAAATAACCATAGCTTTGTCCGGTAGTACTGGGGTTCACTTCATCTACTGGTTTGGATGGTTACAGACCTATCGACTACTGGGTTAAAAGTGGCTCCAAAATTCCTATGAGCTTTTATAGTCAATACTTCTATGGAGTGAGCGTGATTTTTAGTAGATGCTGGGGTTGTTGGGTCCTACAGGGAAAAAAGTGTTGTCTTTGTAAAATCTTCAAAAAATTGCAAAATAGAATGGGATTAACTCTCCCATAGAACAGAATCAGATAGAAGTGTGGATTAAAAACCCTAATCCTACAATATGTTGTTTACAAGAAACACATTTGAAGTAGAGAGATACATACAGAGTAAAGGTCAAAGGCTGGAGCAGAATATAGACATCTATCGCAGACGTTTCCATTAGGATGAGTAGTGAATCATGCCCCTTAAAAATTAGGTTATTGTTTTTAAGTTTTCAAGTTGCTGAGAACCTTATGTTGAATTTAGGAGTGGAGTATTTTTTTAACCAATAAACTTTTCTCTTTAATATAGTTTAACACTATAATTTATCTGGCTAGCAGCATAATCTGAATCTCAATGGTGCCGAAGTAACTCAGTTTAGTAATTTTAGTTTCATTAACAAGAAAGCTTTATTCATTTTTTAAAAATACTGGGGTCTTTACAGTCAGTGCTATTTTTCTATAGCACATCGAAAAGCAAGGAGTAGCATTTGCAGAGACTTCAAATGGTTCTAATCATTTGAAACTTCCAAATGGTTATAAAATGGGTAGGTAACACCAGATGTCTTGCATCATATTAATTTAAATTATTATGGACAATCTAAAAGTCATGGTAGGTGCATATATGCTCTGGGAGTATTCAATTCTAGGTGAATGCCCAGTTATATCTTCACCAAACAAATAAAACTCCACTTACCTTAACATGTTCTCCACTCCTTTCCCTGCAATTCTCCCATAGGTATTAGAAGGAAAACCTATCTACGTGGACTGCTTTGGGAATCTAGTACCACTGACAAAGAGTGGTCAACATCACATATTCAGTTTTTTTGCCTTCAAAGAAAACAGACTTCCACTGTTTGTCAAGGTAATGGCATAAATGCTGAGAAAGTTGTAAACTTAAGGTAATTCATGGTAGTGGGGAATAGTTTATCTTTGTTTTCATATTATGGCATTTTTCCTAGAGTCATAGAATAGCTTTAAGCATATAGAGCAGATTTATATTTATAGCTAACTTCCATTGCTTTTTGAACTGAAATGATATGACTTAGCAGAGGACTCCTTAATGTTGTTTTTTTTAAATGAGTTTTATTAGGGAAGTGAATAAGCTTTTTATGTAGTGCCTACTAAGTGCTTTACAAATATTATCTCATTTAATTTTCATAATCCTGCAAGGTAGGTGCTGCTATTATCCCTATTTTTCATTTGCCCAGGGGCACACAGCTGTTTGGTGTCTGAGGCTGCATTTGAGCTCAGATATTCCTGACCCTAGGCCCAACACTCTATCTGTTGCATCACCTAGCTGACTAGTGATTAAATTTCACAATTAAGCATTGTTAAATTTGTATTTTCAAAACTGTGTATGATTGAACAGATCCTTCAATTTCATTCTTTTAAGAGAGGTTCTCTTTTAAGAGAATGACGAAGTCTCACAGCTTTTTGCATCCAGTGATTCTTAACTCCCATAGATCATCTTCCAGATCCCATTTTCCACCCTCCTATGTCAAATTTTCAAACAAACATGACCCAGCCCTTTCACTGTGCCCTTTAGAATGCCTGTTCTATAGGCAACAAACTTCCTTTCATCCTTAATCTTTTCTTCTTCTACTCCTTCCATCTACTAACAAATTACTGAAACCTGGCTCCTACCCAAATGGCACAGCCTCGCTGGCTACCCTTTCCAGTACTGGTTTTATCTTTCTTCATTCTCCTCAGAACACTAGTAAAGGTGGGAAGAGTCAGAATATTCCTTGCTCCTTGTTGACACTTCCATGTTCTCTCCCTCCTTCCATCACTTACTAACCTTTCTTCTTTTGAGATTCATAATATTCATATCTCCCACCCAATCAAAATCTTAGTAGCTGTTGTCTATCAACACCCAGATCACTTTCCTTCCTTTCTCATAGAGTTCGGTTCATGACTCACCATTTTCCTCTCCTCCCCAACCCCCACCCTCATAATAGGAGACTTCAACTTATATATTGACTCTTCCTCAAACCCCCTAAGCAACAGATTTTTTTACCCTACTTGCTTCCTATGAGCTATTTCTCCACTCTACACAAAGATGGTCATACCCTTAGTCTTGTCATCTCTCCCTTCCCTTACAAAACTTTGCTCTTTGTTCACACCATGACCTCCAATCCCTTAACCCCTCAATTCTCTCCTAGGCTATCTCTCCTGCAATAGCCACTCTTTCCCCCTCTTGACCTTCTTAGTGAGCCAATTTGACTCTACACTCCTCCTCTTGTGAATCCCTAGCCCCCTTATCATTCTGTTGACTGCTCTACCAAGCCTCAGCCTTAGGTCACTCCCAACATTTACTCTTACACATGTACTTAACGTGTATGAAGGTGAAGAAAATCACATGATCATTCTGACAGGGTCCACCAAAGATTTGGATTACACAACTTCAACTGGGCCCTTACTGCTGCTAGGAAATCTTGCTATACCTCCTTTATCAACTCACTATTCCATTCTTCCATACCTTTTATCCCTCCTAAAACATTCCTCACCCTCTCAGCTGAGAACCTTTCCTATTTTACAGAAAATGTTGAGGCCATTCACTCTGACCTCCCTCTTCTCCTATCACTCAGGTGCCTTTCTGGTATGCTCTCTTCCTTCACCCCTGTCTCACATGATGAAGTGGCCCTACCCCTTACCAAGGCTAACCCTTGTTATCACTTGTTCAAGTGATATTCCATCTTGTCTCCTCCAACAGGTTGCTTCCTCTACAATCCTCTATCACTTCTGGCCCTTTGTAACTAAACTCTTCAAAAGTCCATCATACATACACCATACATGTGTCCAATTCCCAACATTATCATCCCTCTTAAATTGTTCTCTCCAAAGTTACCCATGATCCCTTAGTCATCAATTCCAATGGTCTGTTTTCAAATTGTCAAGAACCTAGGAAATGTGCCTTTTGCTTGATTTCAGCCTTTCAGTAGCCTTTGACACTCTCTTCTCTCTAGGTTTTTGGGACACCACGTTCTCCTCCCTCCTATCAGACTATTCCTGGTTCTCCTTTGCTGATTTCTCTTCCAAATCACACCCTTTGATTGTAGGGGTCCCACAAGGTTTTGTCCTGGGCCCGCTTCTCTTCTCCCTCTATAGTACACTTGGTAATCTGATCAGTTCCTATGGATTTAATTGCTATCTCTATGGTGATAATTCTCAAATTTCACATCTCCAACTACCTATCAGATACCTTTAACTAAACTCATTCCCCCCCAAAAAATCTACTCCTTTCCAAATATTTTTATTACTGTCAAGGGCACCACCATCCTCCCAGCCACTCAGGCTGGCCTCCTCACTATCTCTCACCACCACCTCTATGCAAACTATTGCCAAGGCCTGCTGATTTTACCTTTGCAACATCTCTCATATATGACCCCTTCTCTTCTTTGACACTTCCCCCACTCTAAGGCAGGCCCTCATCACTTCATGCTTGGATTATTGCAATAGCTGCTTGTGGGTCTTGTCTACTTCAAGTCTCCACACATACTCAAACTCCAGTGGCTCACTAGCACCTCCATATTCAAATACAAAATGCTCTATTTGGCATTCAAAGCCCTTTATAACCCCTCCTCCTCCTATCTTTCCAGGGTTTTTATGCCTCATTCCCCAACACATACTCTTCAATCCAGTGACAGTGGCTTCCTGGCTGTTACATAAAGAAGCCACCCCATTTCTCAACTCCAGTTGGTTCAAGTTCCCCTTGCCTGGAATGTTCTGCCTACTGACCTCCTTGGCTTCCGTTAAGTCCCAACTAAAATCCCACCTTCTATAGGAAGCCTTCCCTAACCCCTCTGCTAGCATTTGTCTCCCGACCTCCAGGACACTCCCCTTCCCCAGTGAGTTCAGTACCTGGCTCAAAATCTTTTTCTCCAGCCTCTATACATACAGGTTAATTCTTTTACACCTCCCTATAACTGATTCATTATCCCACTTTCCACAGTCATTTTCCAAATCCTCCTTCCACTTTCGCATCTGAGAATATTGTCTCATATTTCACAGAAAAAAATGAGACTGCCTGCCAAAAGTTCTATCTTCTCTCTTCTTCTTTTCACAAAAACCAGAAGCTTTCCTTGACTTGTCTCTCCAAGGTGGTACTTAGCACAGGGCTTGGCACATAGGAGTGCTTAAGAAATGTTTCTTGACTTGCTGATCCAAGACATAGCTAAGGCAGCCACGTTTACAAGCCTGTAAGGTTCAAAAATTACATATTAAAACCACGGAATAAAAAGAAAACACCATTTCCCTTTACCTCTGTCTACTTCACCATTTTCCATTCTTCACAATTCAGTCCCATAAACTAGATATCCAAATGGACATTTTCCTAAAAGGTACATTACGGTACAAATTATTCTCTTTCATTATAGATCATTTACTTTTGAAAGATGCTTTCTCACATGTTATTTAGATCTTCACCAAAACCTACAATGTGTCATGTCTAAAATAGAACTCTGATTCCTGGCTGGAAACAAATATCATGAATAAAGATGTCTGTAATATAAGCATATACATATCTATGTATGTAATACATATATAAATAAAATAGATATAACACATATATAAAGGAATATATATATATATATACACACACACATGTACACACAGATGTATACATATACATATGCATACAGATACACACATTAAGAGAAGATTCTCTGCCCCAAAACTTTCCCTTCCTGATGGTTTTGGACACTGTCTGCTAAGAACGAAGTAGGTCTAAATTCCAAACTCTGTTTCTGTGCTGTCCTTCTTGTAGGTACGGGACACAACTCAGGAACCTTGTGGAAGACTTTCCTTTATGAAGGAGCCCAAATCGACAAGAGGATTGGTGCACCAAGCGATCTGCAATTTAAATATCACACTGCCACTTTATACTAAGGTACCGTCTAACTTACTGCAGCAGAACCTCAACCACTGTGGGACTAGATTCTCCCCAGCTTTGTTTAGGGAGACAAAGGCAACCTAGTTGTGATCACACAGAATTGATTCTTTATAATTCCCAGTACCATTTCTAGCTCTCAACCTAAGGGGGGAAAAGGAGCAGTCACTTTTATTCTTTTGCCAGAGGAAATAATTGAATTAAAAATGGATAGATTTCTTAAAAATTGTTGTGAGCACTGAAGAGGGGCAAAAGTTATGGTTCCAATAATTTAACATTTTTAACTGATAACAAAGAAACTTACATTGTCTTGATTCCTATGTTTCCTTCATTTTGAAACCAGAGTAATCTATTCAGACCCAACAAGATATCATCACATTCCACTTCCCAAATAGAACATCTAGGGGTAGCTAGGTGGTACAGTGGTTAGAGCACCAGCCCTGCAGTGAGGAGGACCTGAGTTGAAATCCAGCTTCAGATGTTTACTAGCTGTGTGACCCTGGGCAAGTCACTTAACCCTGAATGCCAAGGGAGGAAGGGAGAGAAAGAGAGAGAGAAAGAGAGAGAGAAAGGAAAGAAAGAAAGAAAGAAAGAAAGAAAGAAAGAAAGAAAGAAAGAAGAGAGAGAGAAAGAGAGAGAGAAAGGAAAGAAAGAAAGAAAGAAAGAAAGAAAGAAAGAAAGAAAAAGAAGAGAAGGAAGGAAGGAAAGAGAAAGAAAAGAGAGAAGGAAGGAAGGAAAGAGAAAGAAAGAAATTGAACATCTGCAGGAATTTTATAGACTTTAAAATCAGGGAAATCCCATGATATTTTCATCCCATCATGGAAAGAATTGCATGTTTAATGTTAGAGAATGTGTATATACACATATACATATAAACATAATTTCAATTGTCTAAAAGACTTTTTCAGCTCTACTTTAATATCATGCACTGTACAGGGGGAGAGGCTTAGGGTCTCTGGTTTCTCCCTACATGACACAAGATGTTTCAGACAGCTGCCTGTTTTCTCTCTGAAGTTTTCCCCTTTTAAATTCTTCAGAGTTGAAGTCTCAGTAGAAATAATCATTATCAGTGTTCGTTAAGACCAGATTCACACTAACACTGGGAGGTGCTGGAGGAGTATGAGAATAAGGATGGGGGCATGTATGTGGAGTAGGACCAGGGATCTGTTATCTAGCACACTTAAAGACTTGTATATTCTGCTTAATTCAATTTTATTGAATACATTTAACATATAGCAACCAGGTATGAATGATATGAATTTGGACAATTAGGATGTAATAAAAGGTACTTTGTGTTATTAAAATATCATTTAATCTTTTTTTTATTTATAAGGCAATTCAGCCTCTTATATAGCCCTAGAGTTATCCTAATGAATTTCTATCATTACTATTGTATTATTTAATAGAAAGTCCCAAGACATAGAATATCAGAGAGTTTACTGTGCTTATGCAATGTATTTTTTTTTTGGCAAAAGACATCTCTAACGTAATCCTAACCAATACTCTAGTGCTGTGGAATTGCTTACTAATCAGTACATTGGACAAAATGGGGAGTCTATCAAATATTACTTTTTCCAGTCTGTTTATGTATGTCTTTACTGATTAAGTAGCAATGGTTAACTGAAGTTAAAACTAATGTTCTTATGCTAAATTGTTTTCAGCATGTGCCTCCAGAGCATTCTAACATATATTTATTAATCTCATAATCCATCTCTAATGAGTGGAATGTGTCATGGTCCAAAAAATATTTATACATGGAATTATAACAAAAAATCATATTAAGTATATGTGAAGCAATATGTAATTACCAACATTTCTTATTACTACTCTGGTATGCATTATGTTAGCATGTGTAAGTCAGGCATTGAAATCTACCATCAGTCTAGCAGTTAACTATAATTTTGATCTTTTGTCTACAGACTTCAATGTTTAAGTCAATCCTCTTGAATTTTTCTGCCTGTCTTTTGATTGTAAAAAAGTATGCTCTCTGAATATCTTCCTGTTAGCATTTGGCAACAGGGTATTTTCCTCTTCTTTGTATCTAAATAGTCTCTGCTTTTCCTACTGTTTTGTTTTTGCCTCCTCCTTTTGCATGGCATCTTGGCTGCCAGGAGTCAGAATCAGATCAAGAGCAGGAGGAAGAGGTAATTTTGCTACTGTGTCACTCGCTTATGGCTGTTATCAGTGTTCTAATCACTAACAAGTGGGACCCTGCATGCATATGAAGCAGCTGTTCTTGAAAAGCCCAAAAGTATAATGCCTACTTCTGTTTCCCTGACACTGAACTGAAATGATTTTCTTAGAGGCTTAAGTCACACAGGACTTACACGTTTCTTAAGGTGGTTTATACTTTTGTTTTGCTGGCCATCAACTAGGCTGAAAAATTGTGGGTTCACTTTTAGTGACCTACGTCTTATCCAATGAAAGGTCCACCCTTTGTGGAGCTTTGGTCTCTAATTCAAGAAGAGGGTTCAACAACCTTGTTTTTGAACACCAAACAGTATAAAATTTAAAAGACCTTCTGAAAGTGTATCATGCCTTTGTAGTATAAGCAAAGTGTAAGGTAAAGATTGCCACTTCCAACCACAAAATCAACTGGTGCTCAATTTGGAAAGAAAAATGTGTTTTAGGGATGGCTGCGGCAGGAGAACTCAGACTATCAGCTACTGATCCTTCCCCAACCCTTAAGACACGCTCATGAAACACGGAAAATGCCCAGCTGTCCCAGCTTCAGAGGGTGGTGAGATTTCCACTAAAATTGATGCCATGTACAAAACTACTGATTTAGGCATTTCCACATTATTATGGTGACTTGAACCAATATCCCAGAGACTTAAAAAAACAACTCCCCCCTCCAATTAAGCATGTATTTTCTCCCTTTCTCCTCCTCCACTGGGGGATGGATGGGGATTAAACACCTTTGTTTTGATTGACTGCATTTTTGTTCCAAATTCCTGCATTAGCCATGTCCAAAACTGAAAGACTTATTCTGCATAGAATTCCTCAAGAGACTTTAATTATTATTTCCCCCATGTAATCTAGTATTCTGTTTCTAGTAGTAATCAAGAAGTGGGGTGTTTCAGTTACTGATGTTTCAAATGGTGGTTTTAAAAAAAAATAAAACTTCCAGTTATAGAAAGATGGATATTTAACTATACCAACTAAATACTAAATTGGGCTCTACTTTTTGAAATTTAGGTTCCTTCAGTTTTTAAAAATAAGTATATTTATTGTGACACTAACTGTATAAAGATTGGGAGATATCCAATAAATCGTTGAAAATAAGCATTTCAGATGTGAAAATAAAACACGGAAAAACCTTTGTATGTTTTGCCTCTTAATAGCGAGACATCTCAATTGAACTCCCATGCTTTCAATTCCACTTTAAATGGAGTGATGTAACAGGAGGGGTGATGATTAAGTAAAAGGCAGTCGTTATCCACATCAAATTACGCATACTAAGCGTGAGAAAACAGAATTCTTTGTTTCCACTGAAATTCAGCCTTAACTAAACCTATGAGGCATGGAAGTATATCATTCTGTGAATTAATCCTCATATTTCCCATTGGAAAAAATACTGGAAACCTATACAAAATTATATACAAATGACAATTTTGGTGTGTAAAAATTGGGGATTTTTAACAAATCCTTTCATCTAGGTGAAAGGGAAAGGTATCAAGGTGATTAAAGGCAAACTATAGAAATCATGAGTCAGCATGGCAATTGGCTTCAGAGTCAAGAACACTTAATTGCTTGACCCCAAGCAAGTCACATAATGTCCCAAAACAACTCTCTTATACGCTGAGTTGCAGAGAAGATACAGACCTGCAATAGCAGAAGGAATTTCTTCATCTGGGAGTTCCTCATGCCAAAGAAATCACAGGTCTGAAACAGACAAAAAAAATGAAATCACATTATTAGAGAATTTGGACCTTGCTGATTTCATTGTAATGAAAATAGCATGCAAAACAGAACAAAACACAGATTATCACCCTTGGCATCCTTCCTTTTCCTTACCTTTCATTCCACGAAATTAACCTTCAGGCTCCAGTGCCAAGTTGAGCTCTTCCCTGTCCCCCCCCCACACATTTACTTCTAACATTCAGAATTCTTCCAGTCCAATACTTCCTTCCCTGCCCTAGCTTTTTTGGAAAGGCTTTAAATAGGATTTAAACCACTTGAAGCCTCACCTTATCACCCTCCCAATACTCAATTCTTGGTGAAGAATATAGAGAAACTATCTCAATTCTGATGAACAAGAATAAGAAAGATTGCCCACAACCCCAGGCCATCAGCTCTGAGAGTGAGAATCAGCTACGTAGTCATTCCTCATCCCGTTTGTATGTAGTATGTGGGTAACAGGATATTGTGCACACCAGAGGCTTTGAGACAAGACACTGTTTGTAACCATTTCAATTTATGTATGTTTTCTTTCAGATCGATATGACATCAGAAAAAAGTAAGATTTTAAATAAAATGGAGTTTGTATGAAAGCTGGCTATGAATTTTTAAAAAAAGCATGAGAGAAAAATGCAAGCTAGTTGCCATTACTAACAATGATAATAACTTTATTATTATAATTACATTATCATTATTAAGCATTAATTTATACTTACAAATGCAGCTTTCCAGTTAAATTACAAACATATCTAATCAGTGAGCTAATTAGCAATAAAATACAATGATTCCTCATTTAAGCATTCACTTTCCTTTGACATCCCTGATAATCCTGCTATGCTCTTATGCTCGTTTAGAATCCCATCCCACCATTTTATGTTTTGTCTTTTTATTGCTAATACTCCAACACTTGATTTTTAGTGAAAGGACAGTATCACTTTTTAAGTCCACCTACCAATTTCTGAGTAAAATTCATTATTTGCAAAGGTGCCTGTATGTACAAAAGTGATACTGTCTGAAATTTATGAAGCTATGCAGTCCCTTTTTCTGTGGTGAAGTGTTACCAAGCTTATGGCTCTATGTGGAAATCAGTTCTGATATGATGAGGGAAAAATGTGTTTGTTCATTTGCAGAAGTCAGCAATGAACAAGTAAAAGAAAAAGACCCAATTGGGCAAAGCCAACCAAGGATGCCTTAGCATGGAGATGTGTTTGGATAACAGTACAATCTGCCCCCCCCCACTTAGATCTGTTTCAGATGGAATTTTTCTTTGTTTTTAAGTGGGAACTATAGAATTATCGATTATTAGAACTGGAAGGGCCTTTGGTGGTTTTTAGACATTGTTTATCAGTCAAATAAACGAGCCTTTATGAAGAGCTTGTTATGTGTGGAGCACTGTGATATCCTTCTCCCAAGGCCAGAATTCCTCTTTATGAGGTATTCCATGAGACAGCTGCCTGACAACTCATTTAAGCCTTAAAACACTTAAAATATTATAAATTTCCCAGACCGTTTAATTCATATTACATCTGATGGCCTACCTCAAATGAATATGCACCTTTGAGGAAAATGTACCTTTTGTACCACTAAATTGTTGTTTTATATATTAAAAAAAATCCCAAAGTATTTTGGGTTCTTTTTGCATGATTGCATTTCATGCATACATACCCTATCAATTCTTTAAAGGATTTAATGAAGACATCTGACTTCATATTAGCCTGTATGGTTTGGAGCTTATTTTGTTTTGTTTTATTTGAGAGGGGGCATCATAACCCAAACTTTCAAAAATAAGTAAATCATCAGAAATATACTAACTTTGAAAGTTTGATTTTTGAGAGTTTGTCCTTCAAAAGGGGAGCAATTCTAACAATAATAATAATAATGATGATAGCTGGCATTTATGTAGCACTTTAAGGTTCTCAAAGTGCTTTATATCTGTCTCATTTGATCTTACCAACCCTACGAAGTAGATACCATTATTATCTCTGTTTTACAGATGAGAAAACTGAGGCAATGCAGAGGTTAAGGGATTTTCTCAGCCTACATAGCTAGACTTAAACTCAGGTCTTCCCAATTCCAAAGCCAGCAGAAATCATTTTTTTCTTAAAAGTGTTAATTTCCCAAAGAGATTTTTTTTGCTGGAATGACCTATACTGTTCTCTCTGATTCTATTAGATGTTTTATCTCATTTCCCTATGTCCTCCTCTGAAACTAATGTGTAAAAAAGAACTTTTCCTGAATAGAGTATAGTAAGAGAGAGAAGACCGGGGGGGGGGTCAATAAAGAGGAGAGAGCTCACACGTATTTAGTGCCTTAAATTTTTCAAAGGGCTTTACAATAATACTGCTTCATCTCATTTAATCTCACAACAACCCTGTGATGGTAGGTGTTATTATTTCCCCCATTTTCCAAACAAGGAAACTGAGGCTTAGCACAATGATTTGCCCACAAGTATGTATTAAATCTCTGTAAAGGAATTCCAACTCGGGTCTTGCTGACTCCAAGTCTAGCCCTCCCTCCACTATCCCAAGCTGCTTCACCTTGCTTATGAGAGAAGGGTTCTTCTATGATTGTAACTAAATGATTTAAGGCACTAAGGTTTTTATTTTTAGTTTTAGTTTTGAATATAGGCATATAGATGCCAATGATGTATTTTTAAAATGACAAAGTATATACTCTTGATAAACTCAAATCATAAGCTACCAAAATGTGCTCCAAGTTGACGATTTCAAAGAGGGACAAAATTTATTTCCTTTCAGAAACTCCTCTGTCAATTTAACTAGAGGCTAGTTTTCCGAATCTCTTTGCTATTCTTGGTTCATATGCCTACACATTTGTCTGCACCATAAGCTGCCTACATCCAATATTTTGCATATTGGTTTGTAGGGAAATAAATATGCTTCACCACAGTATTTTTTTTTCCTTAACCAACTCTTATTTATAACCATTCTCCTGCCAGTGCTCTTCAATAAGGCTATATTCCCAGCAATTTTGCCCCATCTTTGCTTTGCATGGAAATAACTTGGCTTACATAAACAGTGCGTGTGTCTAGTGTGAATGTCTCTGAGTTTGGGGTTGCCATCCATTACCTTTCAACTCACATATCAGTTGATTCACAATTATCCTTGTTTTTCCCCTTTTCTTCTTTTTTCTCCCTTTGATCTGTTCATTCTGTGTCTAAACAAGGAGGTTGCTCCAAGGAAAGGCCCGTGCCTCTCAACAGGACACTGTTTGTTTCATTGTTAGGTGTGAGTTTCCCTTAGATGAAATGCCGGTTTGCAGCTGACTCAGATTGACGTACCTAATATAGCTAACATGTTGCACATACCAGAATTGAACACATAGAACTCAAGAAGAATTCTTTGTTTTGGTTATTTAAAAATGCGAACACATTTTCAAATGTTATTCTGACAGTTTGCTACCACTGGCTTTCTCTTAGAGGAAATCAATTTTCTGGCAATTCTAATGCTTCCCCCCACTACCACCTTTTTTTTCCCCCTTGTTTATTTTTTTATTTGAACATTGATCTGTAACATCTGAACAATCTTGAGATACCTCTGTGTAACTTCACTGTGGTTTTTTTCCATTGTTTTGATTTGTGGCCTTTTTTAATGTCTCGTTGATTTTGTCTGTTACAGCTTTGGTGTTGTGTGTGTGGATTGCTACGATGAGAAAATTAAGCAAGTTATTTCCTGCTCATTTTTCCTTTTTGGTTTGTTTTCTGTTAGCTTTGCTTTGCTCTTGTACCCCGAGGCCTTGTGGATCCACCATTCCCAGCCCATTTTGTTGATCTTCCTACCACTGCAGCCAAAGACTTTGTGTTGTTTCAGTCCTGATTACATTTTCCGATATCTTTTTTGATTTCCATTTTACTTTCAATGTTTTTTTGTTCACGTCAAAGACGATGAGACAGAATCTACAGAAACGTCTGTCGTGAAAAGCCACCTCGTTAATGAAGTTCCCGTCCTAGCAAGTCCGGACTTGCTCTCTGAAGTTTCTGAGATGAAGCAAGATTTGATTAAGATGACTGCCATCTTGACAACAGATGCCTCAGATAAGACAGGCTCTATTAAGGTGAAAGAGTTGGTAAAGGCAGCTGACGAAGAGCCAGGCGAGCCTTTTGAAATTGTTGAAAGAGTTAAGGAGGACTTAGAGAAAGTGAATGAAATTTTGAGAAGTGGAACATGCACCAGAGAAGAACGCCTAAATCAGAAGTCTCAGTCAGGGAGAGAATTAGTAGAAGAAGAGTGGGTTATTGTCAGTGATGAGGAAATTGAAGAGGCTAAGCGAAAGGCTCCCTTAGAAGTCGCGGAATCTCCGTGTGTAGAGGTTAGACTAGAAACAGGGAAAAAAGAAGAAGTTAAAAAAGACCCAACTGGGATAGTGAAGTATCTCACTGATGATCTAAATTCTTATGAGGCTCTTCACGAAGTGCGGCCACAGACAGGCCAAGATGCAGTAGGAAAGAAATCTGGGGCTACTGATATTAGCAGGAGTTCAGAAAAGGAGGGCCAAGATGAGACACAGAGTATACAAGAACCACACAGACCAAGCTTGGGGATAAAGAAGCCAGTGAGGAGGAAATTAAAAGAAAAGCAAAAGGAGGAAGGTTTACAAACCAGTGAAGGCACAGCTGACCTTAAAAAATGTAGCTCAGAGGAGTCATTAGATGAGGAATCAGGCTTAGCACCTGAAGCTGTCCCCACTGTCAGAGCTGTGTCTCCAGTGATAGAAGAAACACCCATTGGCTCAATAAAAGACAAAGTAAAGGCACTGCAGAAACGCGTAGAAGATGAACAGAAAGGCCGCAGCAAATTGCCTGTCAGGGTGAAAGGTAAAGAGGGTGTAACTCAGGAGCTCCCTAAAAAGACAATTCACAGGTCACATCTCCCTGTGTCACCGTCAGCTAAAACAGAAAGACATTCACCTGCTTCACCCTCCGCTAAGACAGACAGACATCCTCCTGTTTCAGGCTCAGCTAAAACAGAGAGACATTCACCTATATCACCCTCAGCCAGAACTGAAAGGCCTCCACCCATGTTGTCTTCTGGGAAAACAGAGAAACACCCACCTGTATCACCATCCAGCAAAACAGAGAGACGACCACCTGTTTCACCTTCTGGGAAAACAGAGAGACGACCACCTGTATCACCTTCAGGGAAAACAGAGAAACACCTACCCATATCGCCTTCTGGGAAAACAGAAAGACACTCTTCCACTTCACCATCCTCAAAAACAGAAAAGCACCCACCTGTATCGCCATCCTCAAGAACAGAGAAGCACCCACCCGTGTCACCCTCTTCAAAAGCAGAGAAGCACCCACCTGTATCACCCTCCTCAAAAGCTGAGAAGCACCCACCTGTATCACCCTCCTCAAAAGCTGAGAAGCACCCACCTGTATCACCCTCCTCAAAAACAGAGAAGCACCCACCTGTATCACCATCTTCAAGAACAGAAAGGCTTGAAGAGACAATGTCAGTTCGAGAATTGATGAAAGCCTTCCAGTCAGGTCAGGACCCATCTAAACATAAAACTGGATTATTTGAACACAAATCTGCAAAACAAAAACCACCACAAGAGAAAGGAAAAGCCCGGGTAGAAAAAGAAAGGGGTCAGGCACTAACACAGAAAGAAAGCCCCGAGAAATCAGAGAGTCAGACAATCAAACGAGGCCAGAAGTTTCAGACAACAGTATCTTCTGATTCCAAGAGAGGAGCTCGGGTTTCCTCAGGAGGCGTGAAGAGAGAAGATGTAGTTGGCGGAAAGGAGAAAGTCTTGGGTCTAAAAATAACTGAACCCACTCACTCAGTGCTTCAAGAAGAAAGCACAAAAGAGAGTTCCTTAACAAAGGGAAAGGGAGCTGATGAACTGGGAGACCTTGATCTCCAGATCAGCCCAGACAGAAAAACCTCAACTGACTTCTCTGAGGTCATTAAGGAAGAGCTAGAAGACAATGACAAATACCAACAGTTCCGACAGCATGAAGACACAGGAAAGGCACAGGTCCATTTAGATCAAGTGCTCACAAGCCCATTCAATGCCACTTTTCCATCTGACTACATGAAGGATGGGTTTTTGCCTGTGCTGACTTTACAGAGCGGTGCTTTAGATGGCAGCTGTGAAAACCTTAAACATGAGGGGGTGGCTGCTTCTCCATGTGGAAGCCTCATGGAAGGGACACCACCTCAGGTTAGCTCAGAGGAAAGCTATAAGCATGAGGGACTTGCAGAGACTCCTGAGACAAGCCCTGAAAGTCTTTCTTTCTCACCAAAGAAAAGTGATGAACAAACTGGGGAAACAAAGGAAATTGCCGTGGTAGATGGGCCAAGTGAAACCCATTCAGCAAAACAATACCCCACAACCAAAGATGTCACAGATGCTTCTGAAAAGCCACTTGCTATAGTTAATAAGACTGAGAAGTCTACTGCTGAGTGTCCTTCAAAAGAGGCTGATGAGGACAGTTCTAGGGATATATGCCACAGACAAGAAGTTGATCATACGAGCACCAGCAGCAATAGTACAAGCCTACCCAAGGAAGCATCAGAAGAACTTGCCAAGGAAGCCGGCAGTGAAAGTCAGTTGACGCTTGATGGCTCAACCTCCCTGACACAAGCTGGTGGCAAGGACAAAGAACCAACCACCGATGAACACACAGATCAAACAAAAGCTTCAGAGCTTTCTGACACCTCCATACAGAAAGATGAAGATCTGGACACCTCTGTAAAGAAAGGTAAAGAGTCAGAACCTGAGCACCATGGCATTGTCAGAAGCCCCCAAGGACTAGAACTTTCCCTTCCTAGCCATGATAGTGAAGGCCTCAGCCCCGTAGCTGATGAATCATTGGCAATCAGTCACAAAGACTCTTTGGAAGCAAGTCCAGTCCTAGAAGACAACTCCTCCCACAAAACCCCTGACTCTTTGGAGCCCAGTCCTTTGAAGGAATCCCCTTGCCGTGATTCCCTTGAAAGCAGTCCAGTTGAGCCAAAGATGAAGGCTGGAATTCTCACAGGTCACATTCCACTTCCTGCACCCTCCTCCAAAGCCGAAGCCTTCACAGAGCTAGCTTCTGTGCGTTCCAGGCTTCTCCGTGACCCTGATGGTAGCGCTGAGGATGACAGCTTAGAACAAACCTCTCTAATGGAGAGTTCTGGGAAGAGTCCTCTTTCTCCTGACACCCCCAGCTCAGAAGAAATTAGTTATGAAATCACCCCCAAAGCAACTGATGCCAATGCACCTAAGCCAGCAATCATCCCTGAATGTGCAGAGGAGGATGATTCTGAAAATGGAGAAAAGAAGAGGTTCACCCCTGAAGAGGAAATGTTTAAAATGGTAACCAAGATCAAAATGTTTGATGAACTGGAACAGGAAGCCAAGCAGAAGAGGGACTGCAAAAAGGACTGTAAACAAGAAGACTCCTCTCCAGGCTCTGAGCCAGATAGTGACAATACAGTTGCAGGAGAAGAAAAAAAGCCTATGGCAAGTGAAGAAAGGGAAGGGGACACACCAGTAGTAGTCATGATATCTGAAAGCAGGAAGACATCCTCGTCCTCAGAGAGTGAGCCCGAGTTGACCCAGCTGAAGAAGGGTGTTGACTCAGGTCTCTTGGAGCCAGTCATCCGAGTACAGCCTCCTTCTCCACTTCCATCTGACTTAGATTCCAATTCCAGCCCTGAAGAAGCAGGATTCCAGCCCATTGTTTCTAAGCAATACACTTTCAAAATGGAGGAAGAGACCCAGAAAGACCCAGCGAAGCCTACAGTGGACAAAGATTCTGAATCTCCTTCTCCTGAGGAAAGAGACACAGTTTCTGTTGAAGAATCAGAGGATCTGTATTCTGATGCCAGCAAGGAGATAGAAACCGTCCAAGCAGAGTCTTGTACTGGACACAAATGTGAACACAGCGGTCCTAATGAGCCAGCCATTTCCTTCCAACCAGGCATCAAAACTTCCACTGGTGATGATTTTGAAGAGGAATCGGTAGCCCACAAAAAATCATTACATCAGCAAGATACTCAGGAAAAAGACATAGCAGGAGAAAAGCAAGATCTTGATGTTTACAGAATTGAATCCACCAAAGTAGATTGTCCCTGTGAAGAAAGCTCTGAATTCTTGCCCTCAGTTTCCCATTGCTCAACATCTGATGAAATAGAGCAAGATAAAGATAGCTCTGCCACATCCTCAGCTGTAGAATTAGACACGGCGAAAAGTGATCACAGTTTTGAGAGCTCTACCAAGAATGTTCCTACTGAAGACTCCTCCATTGCTCTCGATACAGATAAATTGTCCATGGTTGTTCCTGTAACTGATGCGGCTGACACTGATGAACATTATGCTCCACAGATCACAAGCCCTTATGAAAATGTCCCTTCCCAATACTTTTTCTCTAGTGAAGAAAGTAGGACCAAAACAATCACTAGACAAACAGGAAACTTGCTTTCCACTGAAGCTCATTCTATTACCGTAAAATCCACTGTTCATGACACAATAGTGGAGAGTTCCTTTAGTGGATCTGTTTCAAAGGAAACATCACTTTTTGAAGACCAGTACATGGAAATAGAACCAAAACAAGAAAGTTCCCTGCAAACAGGTGACACTACCTCATCCCTAGGAATGCCTGCATCTGCCAGTGAGCAGAGAAGTAAAGTCATCATCACCAAAACGGATGTGGATTCTGATTCCTGGAGTGAAATACGGGAAGACGATGAAGCATTCGAGGCTCGAGTGAAAGAAGAGGAACAAAAGATTTTTGGATTGATGGTAGACAGGCAGTCCCAGGGTACAACGCCTGATACCACACCTGCTAGAACACCAACGGAAGAGGGGACACCTACGAGTGAACAAAATCCCTTTCTCTTCCAGGAAGGAAAACTGTTTGAGATGACCAGAAGTGGTGCCATTGACATGACCAAAAGAACCTATGCAGATGAAAGTTTTCACTTTTTCCAAATTGGGCAAGAAGCCAGCCAAGAGACTTTATCCAAAGACATAAAAGAAGGGACAACAGTGGAGCCTTCTCTGTTGGAGAGATTACCAGAATCAGTGGTAGATTCTGAAGAAAAATTGCACAAGAAACAGATTTGCCAACAGAAGACTCGAGTGAGAAAGTAGATGAAAAAGCCTCTATAGATGCTGGAGCCATCAAAGCTGAACACACATCAAGAATTCCAGTCGAAGTGGGAATTTCAGCTTCCTCTCAATCAACCACAAAAGAGGCAATTTCCACAGACACAACAGAAGCTGAGACTTTCTTCCCTCAGGAAACTGGTGATGTGGCTAGTGCATCCAGCACAGCTCAGATGCCTTGTTCTGACTCCCCCGAGACTATTACAGAAGTTCAGTTAGACTTTTCTACTGTCACCAGGTCTGTCTATTCTGAACGAGAAGATGATTCCCCAGACTCTTCCCCTGAGGATCAGAAATCTGTGATTGAAATACCCACTGGAGCCACAGAGAATGTGCCTTCTGCTGAAAGCCAGTCCAAAATTCCTGTCCGGACTCTACCACCTTTGTCCCCAGAATTGCCACCTGTAGAATGTGAGGCTTCCATTTCTGAGGATTCTCTACTCAGCCCAGATGATGAAAGTAAGAATGATGAAGCAAAACCAAAGTCTAAAATCCCCATCAAAGCTTCCTTCCAAAGAATTGAGCAACAGTTTACACACACAGAGATATCTGACCAGCAGGCAGTGATTCCTCAGCCCTCAGACCCAATAAGCAAAGGACATGATAATCGAAGTAAATCTGAATCTGATGCTAGCTCTTGGGATTCAAAGACCAAGCATCTAGAAAAAGCTAGGAGTTATGTTGAGGTAGAATCAGAGGCCAGAGAGGGTTCAGGGGAGACCCAGCTCCAGTTAGAAACAGATGAGGGAACTCTACAACCAAAGACATTTTCCTCAAGGTTGCCAGTTAAAAGTAGAAACACCTCTTCATCTTGCAGGACCATTAGCCCCACAAAAGATAGTAAGGAACACTTTTTTGACCTTTATAGAAATTCCATAGAGTTCTTTGAGGAGATTAGTGATGAAGCTTCCAAGTTAGTAGATAGGCTTACCCAATCAGAGAGGGAGCAAGAATTAGTGTCAGATGATGAAAGCAGCAGTGCCCTGGAAGTTTCTGTAATTGAAAATGTGCTACCCGTTGAGACGGAGCAGTCAGTGCAAGAGGACATCTTTGATACCAGGCCCATTTGGGATGAGTCCATTGAGACTCTGATTGAGCGCATTCCTGATGACAATGGCCATGACCATGCTGAAGGTATTTGCCAGCCACTGGGATTCCCTGTGCTACGCATGTCATGATTTTTAATATATATATATTTTTGCTTTTCCTTTGGTGATTTGTGTCTCATTTTCTTTAAGCTTTCTGTGGTGGTTAATGTGCTTGTGTAAGCTGTTTGTGTTTTGTGCTTTCTCTGTAGACTCTTGTTGTCCATGAAAACAATCTCAAGATTGCATAATGAGAATGCTTATGGAAAACGTTCACATTTATGATCAAACTGGGCAACGTTTAGTTTGCCTTTAGCCTAACTGCTATATGCTTCAGGACATGCAAGTTTTGAGTTTTGCTTTTTCTGAAGTAATATTTTGGCCATAAATTTAAGCAATGTTGCTGATGGAGAAACAACCAAATTGATTTTGTTTGGCAGTCTAAGGGTACTTTGTTTTTTTTTTTATTCTCACTCTTATGCACTCTGAAATCATTTGTACCTGCAATTTTGTAATTATTAGGAAGCAATTTGCTCAAGAAGATTTCACATATCATGAAATTCCAGTTCTTGTGGATCTGTTTTTGGTACAGAAAGGTTGGTTACCACTGCTAAACTCTTTAAGCAAACAAAGAAAAGGTAAAAGAAAAATAAAACCTCACATGCTTTTCATATATGTAGTAGATAAATGGGAATGTGCAGAGATGGATACAAAAACATATTTTGAGGAGACAAAAACTCAAACTTGGCAAGACTCAAGTGGACTGAGAAGGAGGAATATTACCCATCATAAGTAAATCAAAACGTGAAAGGGAAAAACAGAGCGGAGACATCTTCCAACAACTTGATTATTCTTACAATTAGATACTGCAAAATTTTCATGAGACCATTTATTAAAACAGAATTAAGTAATCCTAAAATGATTTGAAATTCACAAGAGTAATTTTAATTCCCTGATGGGGGTTTGAGCAATGACTGTACTGGAAAGGGGATTTTGTTTTTTGTTAAATATTGACCACCAGTGGGTGGAACAGTGAATCGGCAAATATCAGGTTGTGGGAATGATGTGACAGCTTGCAATGCTTCAGAGAGACAAGCATGACACTTGAAATGCAAACTAACAGCCAGCTTCATGCACATATGGCCTTGAGGTTCTAGCATATTCCAAGTGCATGTAATTCATTAATGGCAGCAATATCAGCTCCATCCCTCTAGGATTTGCAAAGCTCTTTTTAATTCATTATCTCATTTGATCTTCAAATGAGGCTCCAGATTGTTCGAGGGAGATCTAGAAGAGTCGACTCTGAAGATCACTGGTGTAATACATGGCTAGGTTCTCCCAATTCCTAACCTGTTCTGAAGTTGACCCATTGTGAACCTTATAAGAGAGAAGAAAATAAGGTGGTCCCCTTTTGGTAGGCAACATGATCTCGGGTCATTTAAAAGTAGTACCTTAATATCATTTAACCTAAGTATAGTTTATTAAAAATAGACAACTCATATCCACTTAGGATGAAAGAGCTATGGAAGCAGCTGTTTTCAAAGGTTCCTTTTAGGTACTTTGTCTTCCCCCCCTCCCTAGAATTCAGGGCAAGAGGTGACTAAATATGATTCTCAATGTAACAGCAACCTTGTAGCAGTACACTAGGAAAGTAGTTTCCTTACTTGTGATGTCTCCCATATTGTCATTTCCTCTCACTGTATCATAGACAACCTATGGCTGTTTTTTCTTTGACCTTCTCTAGATCCGCAGGATGACCAGGAGCATATTGAAGAAAGATTGGCTCATATCGCTGATCACCTTGGCTTCAGCTGGACAGGTAAAATGAGAATAATCTGTTTTTCCAAAGACAAATCCCTGGTTTGAATACCAAGTATATTCAATGGGGAAAAAAGTGTAGATTATGGGATTCCCCCTAGGAGAACTGGAAAGCAGAGCATTTGGGAGGTGACTAGGTTCAGAAATGCTCATCAAATCTAATTTTCATCAAGTGTGATAAGTTTAATTCAAAATTTAAGAAAAATTGCTGATTTTGTCTCAAAAATTTTGATGTCAGTCAGCAAAACAACATGTATTAAACACCTACTATGTGCTAAACTCCATGGCAAGCACTGGAAGTATAAATAAAGGAAGCCAATATATGGCTTCGGCAAATATTAGAATTTTTTAAAACTTTCTAATTTTTAAACACATTCAGTAAGGCAAGTTATAAGATTATAAGAGGTATTATCAAATGACATTATACATGTTGTTAAAACCATAGGTTACCCTAATTGTAATTATTTCAAGTAGGATTACCTATATGTTGAATCCTTCCTATTATTTATATAAACTACTGCATTGAGATAATCATAGAATATAACTCTTCCCTCTTGAAAACAGTTCAAAGATTTGGTGATACAGCATGCTCTTTACAAAAAAATCAGACTTGTATAATTTAAAATTATCTGATTGTCACTGGTAGCAAGATTAAATGGTACCATTTGGTGTGCTAGTGGTAATGATAATAATAATTCAAATGTATAAAATGCTTTAAAGTTTACAAAGACCTTTTTTCATGGCAATCTCTTGTAGTAGAGTTATTGCAATCGTTATCATTCCCAGTTTTCAGATAAGAAAACTGAGGCTAGAAATTACATAATTAGCTAGCCCAGTATCATGCAACTTGTGTCAAAACCAGATGTTACATCTCCCAAGTCCAGAGTAGCATAATGGATAGAGCATGTGGATTCTAGACCTGTGTCCTAATCATATCTCAGTTGTATAACCATGGACAATTAGTTAACCTCTTCAAGCATCAGTTTCCGGTAAAAAGTAATGGTCAGATTAGCTGACCTTTAAGATCCCTTCCCAGTTCCAACTCTATGAAACTTACTGATTCTTCTCCAGGATAAAGCCTTTGATGCATTTTTCAAATACTTATTACAACATGTAATGGCACTAGATCTTTTCACTGCTTTAAACATATAGACATTATGTCTCTAAGTGACCCTAAGCAGGTGTTAGACTAAAGAATACAGATTTGAACATCATTCAAAGGGACTTTTCTAGACTCACAGAAAGTGACTGGTTGGGAACCTCAAGCAGCTGGCTCATACAATTAGTTAACTGGATTACCTTCACTGTAAAAGAAAGGCCTCATAGAAATTCTGTCCACTTGAGGATGATTGGATTTGAATCATCATAAGTCTCCTGTATTTTTCTTTACAAAATCCTAGAATCCCAAACTCAAAGGGCATCATTGAAGGATCTTCAAAATGGCCGTCCAACCGCTATTCAGTATTTCTCCATAATGAATTATCCAAGATATGACTATAGGTATACACAGGAAGGTCTTCTTTAACTTTGTACATACAATTTGATTATATACTGATGCCATCGCTAATTGCTTAATGATGGCTCTCTTTTCTCTGGTAGTGAATTGAATGAAATGCACCAGCCTTGGAGGAAGATAACCCCCACAGAAAAACTGTGGTCATTGCTAATAAACAGAAATGAAACAGTAATGGTCCACATATAAATCAGATTAAGACAGAGAATTATATAGTAATCGATCACATCCATTGTAAATCTTTATTGTGACTTAAACTTTGGGATAAATAGAAGAGGAAAAAAGGTTGACAAAATGGTTTTCTTCTTCCTAGAATTAGCAAGAGAACTGGATTTCACAGAAGAACAAATTCACCAAATCCGAATTGAAAACCCCAATTCCCTACAGGACCAGAGTCATGCATTACTAAAATACTGGCTTGAAAGAGATGGTAAACATGCCACAGGTAAGCAGTGAATAGCATACAAAATAAAGTACTTATTTTAGATTTGCAAGTTAGTATACCTTTCCTCTAGATCTTTTAATGTGTTCATGGAGAAAATAATAATGATAGATTATTAAGAAGAAACCTGATAATTTCTCAGTAGTGGTGTTAAGTAGAGTGATGTAATACACTTCCATTATAATAGGGTGCCCTCTTTGGTTGTCATTTTCCAACTACTTTTAAAAGAGCCAGCTAGGAAACTTTATCAATGAATAGGATTTGTAATGTCTAATTTATGTTTATATGTATTTGTTGTTAAATCCCAACACCCAAATTTTTTTATGATATAAAATAGATTAAAACTTCCCACCTTTCCAATAATCCGCATCCTATACTTCCTTAAAGACTTAGCTTGAGACTCATGTCTTCTTGGAAGCCTCTCTTGATTAACTATACTCCATATTTATCTTTCCTTTATTTTACATTTCCCTAAAATTTATGTCCTACTGTATCATGTACTGGTTTGTGCATTACCTCTCCATCATCTACTGGTTTTCAGTACAGTAAGTTCATTTCTCCTATTATATCAAAAGCTCCAGTAGGTACTCAATGAATCGCTATTCAAGAGAAGATAAAACCACCAACAAATTCTCAATTATTATAAGTATTCCTTCTCTAATTCCACAGACAAAAGCCTCACTGAGTGTCTAACTAAAATCAATCGGATGGATATTGTTCATCTAATGGAAACTAGCACCATGGAACCTCTCCAAGAGCGGACTAGCCGTACTTATGCAGAAATTGAGCAGACAATTGCACTGGACCATAGTGAAGGTAAAATTTCATCTTTTTTTCCCTTTTTTCTTTCCTTTCTGAAATTAATCAAATATTGTAATTCCAAGCACCAAGCAATTGGAAAATACCTTATTCAGGAAAGATTACAAAGACCATCTAGAACAATTCATAGCTGAGGAAAAATGTAGAGGAGTCTACAACATGCCCAGCAAGTGACCTTCCAGCCTAGGTCCAAGCCCAAAGTGAGGGCAGAACCTGCTACCTTAAGAGACAGCCCATTTCAGGTGGAGGGTTCTCATTGGTAGGAAGATTTTTCCTTATATCAAACCTAAGTTTGACATGTTAAAACTTATACCTATTGTTTCTTGTTCTGTTCTTTGGGGCAAGTATCAAAACACACACACACACACACACACAGAAGAGAGAAAGACTAATACTTCTTTGCCATGATCACCCTTTCTTATATATTAAATGTACTTTTACCTAAACTTTAATTCAATCAGGATTTCTTTACTCTCTAGTGAAACCCTTTCTCATGTAAATCTCTTTCCTACTTGAAGTTTTGATGGATTTTACAGTAGGATGGCTACCTTCAAGCTACTTAGAACCTTTAATTTTTCAAAACTGTGTTATTATTATGCTGTCTGTGCTGTTAGAAAAGGAATGCTCAACAATGTGGATAGGAAAGGAAAAACAGCCCACATGCTCTTCCGCCTCATATTCTAGTCACGGCTAACCACAAGAAAATTCTTTGGGCCAAGAAGGAAATGAATGCTCCATTCATTTTAACTGATAAATTAAAGCATTCTTAAGCACTCTGAATTTGATACTGATGCAAATAATACACTTAATCTTTATTAACTGCAAAATATTTTGGAGGAAACGGGGCAGTTTCTCTGCCCACTTATATCTCTACATATCAGCTTTGCCTTTTTTTTGGCACCAACCTTAAGAAGTTAGAAGAGTAGAGAACCTCAATTAATATTAATAATATTACTATATATTTATATAAGTTTCATAGTATACAAATATAACTATATTTGTATTATTATTATTAATATTAATATTATTATTTTGTATATAATAGTATTATTAATAGATATTATAAAATTAACAAAAAATCATGAAAGTATATGCAATAGTACAATTAGTATTCCAAATTTTATTCTTTTACCTTCATAGTCAATCATAATTAATAATAATAATAATATTTTCATAGCACTTTGTTTTTCAAAGTGCTTCATAAATTTTTCATAAGACAAAGTTTTGACTAAGGTAATACAGTATTTTATAACTAACATCAGCAAATAATAAATTAATACCTAGACCTGAGTGCACAATGAATCCAGCTAGGGATGTAATATCAAATTAGAATCTCATGTTTCAGATCATGCTAAGAGAGGCTTTCTGGGGCAGTTTTAACATATGGTCCTATGAGAATTGTTGTTTTATCATCTTATTCTGAAAAAAGTGTGGAAACGACCTCAGTCAGTGGACATTTTGTCTCCTCACCAAGGGGAAAGACAACAGGTACAGGTTAACACCTATTTCATAGATGATTTTCTATAGCAGAACAATTTTCACAATCCCACAACTGACTATGAAGTTTTATGAACATAAGATCCTCTCGTGTTTGTTAATTTCAAAGGATTTGACTGATTGGGACAAAATGCGATCTTAAAGGTTCTGCATAGGCAAGGTATTTTTCAGATGCAGCTTAAATTCGTAGAAGAGTCTACAGCTAATACAAGCACAGAAATACCTGTTCAATATTCCAGTGACTATTGATACCAAGAAAGACGTAAACCAGGGAGCTATATATGCTTACCCAAGTTGGACATCATTCAGCATCATGCTGACCCATTTCGAATCTAAGTGGTCCAAAGATAAATGTTGAATAAATGTCCTGAGCCTCAGAATATTACAAAGTCACTTCAAAACAACATAAGCTTAACAAAAGATGTTAACCTAATTATCCTACAAAAAAGTATGTCACTCAAATTATAAAATGCTTTTCAAAGGATCATAATTTTAGAGTTCTATGGGCAACTCATTGAGAGTCCAGTGTGTGTATGTGGGTGTGTGTATATAGACACATATATGCACATATACATATGTATACATACATGTATGTTTTTTTATATATGTATGTGGGCATGTGTGTGAAAAACAGACATTCAAGATATACAAGTTGCTGACTCGGAATGGAATAAGAGGAAAAGAATGAACTATATTACCCCAGGAAATTAGAAAGTACTTTTAAAAATGCCAAGCTCAGGCAACTAGGTAGCACAATGGATACAGCACCAGCCCTGAAGTTAGGAAGACTCATCTTCCCAAGTTCAAATCTGGCCTCAGATGCTTACTAGCATCTTACCCTGGGCAAGTGACTTAATCCTGTCTACCTCAGTTTCCTCATCTCTAAAATGAGCTAGAGAAAGAAATAGCAAACCGCTGCATTATCTCTACCAAGAAACCCCAAATGGGAGTCATGAAGAGTTGGACATGACTGAAAATGACTGAACAACAAAAAAAAGGCTAGTTCTTTAAGGGCAGCTAGGTGGTACAATGGGTAGAGTACTGGCCCTGGAATCAGGAGGACCTGAGTTCAAGACTGGCCTTAGACACATTATACTTACTCACTATCTCTGTGATTCTGGGCAAGTCACTTAACCCCAATTGCCTCACCAAAAAAATAAAAAGATGCCAAGCTTTTAGCAGTAAAAGCCCAACTTTTAAACACCAATATTTTCCAGTAATATTACATTACTATAAGTCATGGGATAGTCAGTCAATAGGCATTTGTTAAGCAATTAATACGTGCCGGACGCTGTGCTAAGCACTGGGGATCAAAAAAAAAAAACAAACCCAGAAAAGAATACCTGCCCTCAAGGAGCTCACATTCTAATGGGAGATGACATGAAAATAAACAAGCACATGCAAGATACATACAGAGAATATGGAAGGAAACATCGGAGAGAAACACAATAGGAACTGATGGCACTGTGAAAGGCTTCCTACAGAAGGTGGGTTTTAAGTCTTGAAGGAAGCCAAGGAAACTCAGAGGCAGAAGTGAGGAGGGAGGGCATTCCAGGCATGGGGAGCAGCCTGTGCAAAGGCATGGAAGTAAGAGGTGAGTTGTTATGTGCAAGGAACAATAGATAGTCTAGTGGGGGTAAGACTAAGAAGTTATGAAGAAATCAGCTTGTGTTGTGCGGATCAAAAGAAATAACACAGAGGGGCAGCTAGGTGGCGCAGTGGATAGAGCACTGGCCCTGAAGTCAGGAGGACCGGAGTTCAAATCCGACCTCAGACCAAACACTTGACACTTACTAGCTGTGTGATCCTGGGCAAGTCACTTAACCCCAACTGGCTAAAAAAAGGAAAAAAAGAAAAAAACCAAAACCAAAAGAAATAACACAGGTAAAGTGCTTTGGAAACCTCAGAGTGCTACATAAATGCTTATTACTACTTTTTATTCTGTCAAACTGAGCTTTATCTTTGATACAGGAGATAATAGGGTTAATTAGAGTTAACTGAGTGGGGATCCCATGCTCATTGTATAACTTAAAACTCCATTACCTCTGAAGAATCAAAATTGTACGTGACTTTGAAACAATTTAAAGATGCACAGGGAGCATAGTAAACCATGCCATGTGTTCTATAGTGACTCATTCATAAAGAATGGCATAAAAGACATGTGCCCAGAAAAGACAAAATGGTCATAAGACAAGAAGGAGGAATGATACAGCCTGAGTGTTGTGATGATACAGGAAATATTAAACCTCCAGTCCACTGGGAAGATTCTCTTTTTTCAAATGAACTCACAGAATGAAATGAGTAGAATGGGAAGAACGATTTACCTGAAACAATTTTGAAAGAATTCACAGCTCTGAACAATGCAATAACTAATCACGTTAGAAGACTGATGATGAAATCTGCTTCTAGGCTTTCTGTTGGCAGAGTGGTTTGGGATAGATTGGCATACAGAATGACATATGTTTTCAGACACAGTCAATGTGGTCCATTGTTTTGCTTGACTATACTTAGTGTTACAGAGGAAAGCTTTTGTTTGATAAGGAAGTGAGAGAGGGTGAGTCAGTGGGTAGTGATAGTGATACAAACAACAACCTCTGTGAGAAGAAAATGAGCAGCCCACTGGGGACCAAACTGAAACTGACCAGTTGGGCATATCTATCTCCATCCATCCATCCATCCATCCATCCATCCATCCATCCATCCATCCATCCATCCATCCATCCATCCATCCATCCATCTCTCTCTCTCCTCTCTCTCTCTCTCTCTCTCTCTCCTCTCTCTCTCTCTCTCTCCTCTCCCTCTCCCTCCCTCCCTCCCGACACACACACACACACACACACACACACACACACACACACACAGATGCATTGCTGAAAGGGAAAGTAAATTTTAATTTCTGAAACTTTTTTTTCTTTCTTAAGCACTAGCCTTAATCCCAAGTCCCTCTGGCTCTCATGGATTGGCCAATAATAGGGTCAATCCCTACTTGGTCATTATTTGGGCCCTGATTGGCCCAGAATGAATATAAATAGCAATTGTTTGCCTTTTGGCCCGAAAAGAAGGTCTTCCCTCACAGATGGATTTTTTTTTTGGACTAGGTAAAGAGGCCATTCTCTGCCTCATTTCTTATTAAGCCTTAGTCACTGAATGGGTATTGCCTCACTCAAAATAAGAACTCTAAAAAACCTTAACTTGAAAAGGCCAAGGTCCCCCACTACATCCTGGGCTATCTCCAGTTGTCCTGATCTGTATCTGGCCACTGGACCCATTTGGCTCCCGAGGAGAAAGTGAGGCTGGTGACTTTGCACAGCCCTCCCTCACTTAAATCCAATTCACTTGCACATAATGGCATCACCTCCCTGATGTCAAGGTTCTCTTTGAGAATGGAGGAAGAACAAAAACAACAATAATAGTGATGCAATAAAAAAAAATACACACACATACAAAAACAAAGTTCAGAAGGAAAATACGTTAATTCTGGCACTATCTTGCTAATGTTAATATATACTACAGGCATACCTCATTTTATCTTACTTCACTTTATTGTGCTTTGAAGATACTGAGGGTTTTTTGTTTTGTTTTTTAGAAGTTGAAGGTCTGTGGCCACCCTGTGTTGAGCAAGTCTGTTGGTACCATTTTCCCGACAGCATGTGCTCGTGTTGTTTCTCTCCATCACAATTTGCTCATTCTCACAGTATTTCACACTTTTTCATTATTAATATATCTGTTGTGATCTGTAATCAGTGATCTTTGATGTTACCACTGTAATTGTTTTGTGATGCCATGAACCACACCCATATAAGATGGCAAACAATAAATGTTATTGTGTGTTCTTACTCCTCTACCAGTTGGCTATTCCTATCTCTCTTTTCTCTGGCCTCCCTATTACCTGAGACACAACATTGCAAAAGTAGGTCAGTTAATAGCCCTATAATGTCCTTTACATGTTCAAATAGAAGAAAGAGTTAAGGGATGCAGTAAACATCATCATTGTCTTATTTTAAGAAATTGCCCCAGCCATCTCAACCTTCAGTAACCACCACCCTGATCAGTCAGCAGCCATCAACATCAAGGCCAGACCCTCCACCAGCAAAAAGATTGCAACTTGCTGAAGGCTCAGATGATGATTAGCATTTTTTTTTATAGCAATGAAGTATTTTTTGATTAAGTCATGTTCATTTGTCTTTTTAAACATAATACTGTGGCACCCTTAATAGACTACAATATATTATAAACATAACTTTTATATGCACCGGGAAACAAAAAACCTTGATCTTATTATTACTATAGAGCTAGCTCTATGAGGACACGTCAGAGACCAATGTAATTGTTTTTTCTTCTAGTTGTAAACAAGCAAGTAGTAATCTCGTAGTCCCTGGTACAAGGAGCCTGAGGTTGGTCTATTACTTGGTTCTGGAGTTCTGTGCTACAATAGGGCCAGAGTTGATAGGGTGCCTACACTAAGTGTAATTCTAATATGATGAGTCCCTAATCTGGACCAGTGAAGTGGGAGGATGGGGAGCTGGGGTGGAGGGGGTGGGAGGTAGAACCAGGCTGTCAAAGGAGAGGTAAACCAGCCAGGTCAGAATTTGTGAAAGTGAAAGCCCCTATCAATAGTCAGATTGAGTCTTGAGCGGCCGCTGCACTTAAAACCTTGTGGGGGGAGGGATTTCCCCTCTTTGGAAAAAAAAAAGTTATGAAAAAATAGCTCTGGTCTATGAACACATATTGAGTGAGCATTCATGAGCAGAATGTATTGAATCAAATATCATTTACAATAGCACATTTGATGGTATTCTTGATTTATGTGGTGAACTATGCTAGTTAAACATAAATGGTGAGCTTTTCTCATAGCATTACTTTTACACAGTTTGGCCTACTGTCAAGAGGGCAGTTGTTTACACTGGTATTACCCTATCTCTATCATCTCATACTGCGATCCTCCACGTACTCTACAACCTAGCTAACCTGGACATTCCTTGGGCATGCCTCACTTTCCCACCTCTGTGCAGTTTCCCATGCCCTGCAGTCCCTTCCTTACCTCTCTGCAAAACCAACTGCTACTCATTCTTTAAAGTCCAACTAGAAAACTACCTCCTCCAATGCTTGGACCTTACATACCATTTTATGAATAAATGGAAAGCACTGTTTCTCCGATACATACACATTATTTTGGACTCTAATTATTTGTGAATCTGTTTTCTTGGCAGAAGTCCTGTGAGGTCAAGAAGCATCTTATTTAAATTTTGGGTCTCCAAGCACCCAACATGGTGTTCTATGCACAGATGCTTAGTTTTTTATGTATATTGAATCACTGAACCTCTTTGAGAGAACCTTGGTCGTGCAGTGTAGAAGTGCCATCTCTTTTGGTTCAATAAGTCAATTTCTTTTCTTATCCATAGGGTTTTCGGTGCTTCAGGAAGAGGTGTGCACTCCACAGCACAAGAAGAAACATGAGCAAGCTGTTTCTAAAGAGCACGAGCCATCTTCCGATCATCCCCCCATTGTCTCCGAAGAGGACATTTCTGTTGGCTATTCTTCCTTTCAGGACAGCATCCCTAAGACTGAGGGAGAATTGACAGTGGAAGAGCTGACTCAGCACATTCACAAAGAGCGAGTGCAAGCTGAGTTCTCAGGGAAACTGGAAGATCTGATAGAAGATTCTTCTGTCGACCACCAGCAGGAATACTTGTAAGTGTCAAAAGAGGGTTTTTCAAATATCAGAAATGAACTTGTAGAACTATATTTTGTAGGTAATTCAGGTTAAGTGACTATGCCTAGAGTCACATAGCTAGCAAAAGTCGAAGGCTGGATTTGAACTCAGGTCCTCCTGAGCCCAGAATCAGTGCTTTATCCACTGTGCCACCTAGCTGCCCCCTTACAGAGCTATCTTGAGATACATTTGTAGAGGAAAATGGAGTTTGAATTGGAGGTGATGTGCTCAGACATACACTTTAGAACACTATTAGTTCTAAATAATCAAAATTGTAGGTGACCCAAAGGGCAATTTAAAGATGCATGGAGAGGGGATGGAGAGGGCATAGTGAACTACAACATGGTGACTTTTTCCATAAGAGTGGCGTTTGTCAAGGACATGTGTGGTCAGAAAAGGTGAACTGGTTGTGGAAAAAGAATGAATTGCATAGCCTGGGGGTTGTGCTGGAACCCAAAAATGAATGGATGAAAAATCACACATTAAGCATTGACAAAGTACCATATTAAGCATAGGGGATGGAAATATACAAGTAAGACAATCTCTGCTCACAAGGAGTTCACATTCTATTGGAGGAGACAACACATAGGTTCTAGCTGCAAGTCAGATGAAAGATTCTCATGGTATTTAGGGTGCAATGGGAAAGAAGACTGAGACGTCTTTTTCTATGTCATTTCCACCGGTAATATCATATCAATTTTTGATGATGAGCCATTTGACAGTACCAAGGACTTTGGTAGTAAAATATATCTTGTCTGGATCTTCAGCAGTTATGGCTGCAGCCCCCTCAATTACAATTGCTGGGCTCACTGTCAATGGGAATTGTTTCCTGGTATAATGGTCATAGGTGGCACAGTGGATAGGAAGCCAGGCCTGGAGTTGGGAAGACTCAACTTTGTGAGTTCAAATCTGGTCTCAGATGCTTACTAGGTGTGTGACATGGGCAAGTCACTTAACCCTATTTGCCTCAGTTCCTCACCTTTAAAATGAGCTAAAGAAGGAAATGGCGAACTACTTCAATGTCTTTGCAAACAAAACCCAATTGACGTCACAAAGTGGTTGAAAGCAAGAGCAGTGTTTTCCATGTGGTGCTTCCATTCCCTGTGCCCTTGGGCTTACTTGCCCATCAGTGGCAGTTGGTATGGGTGGTGGCAAGGAAAGGGGGCTCCTTTCTCCCCTGGAATCACTCCCCTCAAGGGTGACTGCAGGGCCCAGGCTAGAATACAAGTATGAAGTAAGCATTAAATATCAAAGCCAACATTAAAAGAATGAGAGGAAGATCTCCAGTGCACTGGAAACATTCTCTATTTTCAGAGAAATTTGGAAAGACCTATCCGAACCAACATATATCTATAACCACAAAATGTTCCCATTGTTTATGTTCTTGCCAAAGCTGATTTTGCCTCCAGGCCATGAGTTTGTGTCACGAACTTTTTTTTTTTTGGTCAGAGAGAATAAGCTAACACATTTTGGTGTAGACTTTAATTTGTTAATTTAAGGTCTGGATCCACCTTACATAATAGTTCATCAAACAACCAATCCATTGGCAAGCATTTATCAAGTCCTTAGTCAAAAGACATTTATTAAGCATCTATTACATGCCAGGCACTGTGCTAAGTCCTGAGGATACAAAGAAAAAAGAAAAAAAAAGTTTCTGCCCTCAAGGAGCTTACATTCCAGCAGAAAAGACATTATGATTTGTCCCTCTTTCTTCTTGCTTTAGGACTGAGAAGTCATGGGCAAGCCTCATGTAAATAATAAACTTAAGACAAATATCTTCTACCCTGAGTAAGACTCAGTTGTGACAACTGGTCATAGGGTTAATGCCCTGTCTTTTCTTTGTCAAGCTCTTTAATAGCCTTTCATAATTGTACCATGACAAATGGTGCAATGGACTGTCCTTTAAGAAAACTTATATAATAATAATGATAATAGCTAGTATTATCATTTTAAGGTTTGCAAAGCACTTTACGAATATTATATACATATAACTTCAGTGATAGAAACTTATACATTTGATATTTCAATTGACCTGGGTGGGGGGATCTCATCGATTTGGGTATCCTGTACAACAGGGCAAATTGAAATCCCACCAGCCTCGAGTTCTTCTACCAGTCTTTCACCAATACGGTACCAGACTTAAGCCTATCTCCCACCACTGCCAGTCTCCCCCTACCCTTGCCTACTTTTCCCTTTCTTATCCTCCACCTTCTTCTTGCCAGGAATTGAGCTTTCCAAGGTTTACAGATGTATCTTAAGTACTAGGACCTAATATAGAGAATGGGTCACTCCCTCTCCCAATACAACTACAATAAATATAACCAGGTTAAACTATTGGTACTTCTTTTCCTCCCCTTCTTTGGCTCTTAACTGAATTTTCCCTAAGTGCCAGGATTCCTAATTATAGCTCTGATGGAAAGAATAAAGAAGTGACTCTAAGGTTTTGAACTTGCATGACTGAGATAATGTTTCCATCAACCGAAATAGAAACTCTTTTACCCAGTGGACATATATAGGCCTGCAGCCTCATTGGAACTACCCTAAGGGCTTGAACTCCCCAACTCCCCATAATGAAGATAAATCTCAGGTTGCTAACAAGGCAAACTTCTTCACCATTGGATCTGAACTGCCAAATAATTCAGGAGGGCAAAGTCCAAGTCTTTTGCTTTTCCATGTTTGGCTTCATTCTTTATTGCTTCTAGATGTTGACCCATATATTCATCCCTCTTCTTCCTAAGAGGCCATAATGCCCAAGAACTGGTTTTCCTTCTAGAAAACTGAATTCCAGGGTCTAAGAGATGGAACTGCCCAGTAGCTCCCATTTCTCTCTCAGAAGACCAGATTCTAGAATTCTGCTGTTCAGACTTAATGTTTCCTCAGACCTAGCCACCTTAACACTTTTGTCCTACCATCCAACTCCAGATTTACCTATTCTTTCCACTGTGCACTCTCGAAAGCCTGTTCTACCATTGCCAAGCCTTCTTTAATCTTAAACTTCTTCCCCTACTCTTTCTATTTTCTAGCCCTTGCTAAGACAGCTCTCTCCTGACAATTTCACTTCCCTCACCACTTTTTCCATTTACTCTTTTTATATCTCCCAACTGATTGGTCATGATGGAGAGTTGTAATAATCCTTGTTCCCTATGGTCACTTCCATTTCCTCAGCTACCTTCACTAAGTAATCTCATTTGAGGTTCACAATCTTTAAATTTATCATACAATCTAAATCCTGATGGCTGTTATCTGTAGACTTCTAGGACATTCTCTTTCCTTCCTCAGTGAGTTCAGTGCTTGGCTCACAATTGTTCCCTCCCTATCTCCTTCCTTATACTGAATAAAAATAAAATAAAACATGCCCCTTCTCTTCTAGAAGGTTGGATTCTGAAACTTTGTGGGAGTTCAGCAGTGTTCAGGAAACCCCTCCTCCTTTTTCCAGGAAGCCCACATTCAGGAATTCTTCCTTCAGGCCCCTAGGTAAGAGCATATGACATCTACATGCTTCTACCCAAAGCAGCTATGGAATATGTTGGGGGACTGCCAGACTATGTATAAAGTCCTTGCCTCCTGACCCCAGACCTAGTTCCAATCATATCTGTGATCCTATCTTTCTCCAAAAAAGAGACAAAAAGATCACCTTTACAACTTACCCCACCACCAGCTCTCATAGGCCAGAACAAAGAGGATAACTCCAACCCATTGTACCAACCATATAGTTCTAATTAGTAATATTGAATAAAAGTTACAAAGACACACCATCCTATGAACTCATCAAGCTGATTGGGGAGCTCCCCTAAATTGATAGCAGTAACCTTCCATACCTGAAGTAGGCCATCAGATATTTTAATAGCCACCATGTACATCTATGTCATTGTATCTCACTGCTGATTCTTAAAAGCAAATCCAACAATGAAGAAAAAAATAAGGAGGGTACTGGAACGATCTTTCCTTTCAGTATTAACTGGTGCCTATAACCATTTGCTGTTTTGGATTTGGAGATAAAGGAAAATAGAAAATGAAGAAAGAAAATTTTAAAATGAAAAGAAAGAAAATGAAGATAAGAAGAAAGGCAGATGGGCACTCTGAAGCACTTTATAACTACTCACAAATGGGAATAGAATTAAATACCCCAAAATTAAAATATGTAGATATGACAATCAATGAAAGAATTCTTTAAAAAAACATCAGGAATAACATGAAATAGGACAGCACTTGAAAGATTGTGCTAGAATTGCTATACTCTGTGGCAGTGGTGGAATGTTTGATACAACAGTCACAGGGAATTAATAAAGCATATTAGACAATACATTTAATAGATTAATATTAATCAATCAATAGATTGATAAAGCATTATTAATGTCCAAGAGAATTTAATAACAACATAATAATAGGACTATATAGGTATATCTGGGTATTTTTACTCTGGGCCCAGGTTCCCATTTTAAACTTTTAAATCACCATGACTGGCATGCTTGTCAAAGAATTGTAGGACACAGAATTGGAACAAGACTTCGAAATCATCTAATCCAAATTATTACAGATGACAAAACTGAGGCCTGGAGAAAGGATATGATTTACCCATGGTCCTATATTAGTAGTGGGATCAGCATTCAAACCCAGGTCTTCTAATTTGGCATCCAGTGTTGCTGTTGTTTTTTTTCATCCAGCTAATTTCAATTTCTTCCATGGAGGGGTGTAACATACGAGAATTGAAATGATTGAGATGACCATTTTAAGCCTTAGTACTCCATTTTTACTATATTCTTATATTTTTCCCACGTTTTAGAATTAATTCCATAAGAATGTTATGAGTCACTATATAGACTTAAATGAAAGTAAAGTTTTTTCTTAACTTAATAGGGTACTAATTTAGCTTGATCTTACTGGAGGAATACTGGGATACCATGTATGCATGCAAAAGCTTATTATTCCTTCTCGGTTGTATCTGTGTTGATCTGTGTATCAATAAAAAAAAAAACCTTATGAATAATATATGCAAAAAAGCCTTCAATTATTCAAGACACTATTGTCTTATATTTTGCATATAATTTGTAGTGTGTATATATATTTTATGGATATAAAATATATTTTGTATATATTTTATAGTATATACTCACATACATAAATGTTGTCTCCCTTGATAGAATGTAAGCTCCATGAGGGCAAGGACTACTCAGTTTTTGTCTGCATATCTCTAATGCCTAGCACACTGCTTGGCACATAGCAGGAATCTAATGAATGCTTAGATTCTTTGATCGTGGATTGATTATTGATGAATACTTGGATGATGGATTCATTATTGAGGATCTACTGCGTGTGTATACCACTATGTTGGCTGCTGAATGGAATATTAAAGAGATATAATACATAGCCCCTGTCCTCCCAGAATTTACAATTCTGTTGGGAAGAGCAACAAAACAAGGAAATGTGTGATTAAATACCATAATTAAGAATACAGATAATAGTAAATACTAAGGTTAGAGGGTGCGTAGGGGTTCTGACCTTATTTCTCTTTCAAAAAAAAAAACCAGCAACACAAACCGTATGTTCTCAGGAAAAATTTCTAACTCTAAGCCTTTGCTCCTGTCACCCTGACCTGGAATAGCCTTTTCCTCTTTTCTGTTTGAATCTTGTTCATTTTTAGTTCCCTCTGCTTTTATAAAGCTTCCCTAAATAGTCTGTCCCATATTGCCTTGCTCTTCTCTCAATAAATTTTAACTCCTTGAGTACAGAAAGTTTTGTCTTTGCATTTCCAGTGCTTATCTGTTATACGGTAAGTGCTTAGTAGATGCTTATTGAGAGCAGTAAAAAGAGGTGATCGGAAATGAATACACTTATAGCAGATATTCCGACTATGAAATTCACAATAGAATGTGACCATTTAATATGGAGGCAAACAATGAGACACTGCTCAGTATACACCGTAGACATCATTGTATTATAGCACTGTGTAATAATTGATGTTCACAATGATGACAGTCATTAAGGAAAGATTAAGTTATGCTAAATAATAAATATGTTCTTTACTAATGCAGCAGACTAACAAATTTAAGAAAGATTTTCATCAATACATCATTACCCCTAGAAAATTAAGTTATGGCATAATTTAAACTTTTGTTCTTATGGGAAAATTTTTGGGGATACTATGTATTGTTAGAGAAAATGGGAGATCACTTCTCCCTCTGAAGGGATGTAAGCGCTGGGGATGATGATGATGAAGAAGAACAATAGCTTTAGTTAATATTTACCAACTGCTTACTATGTATCAGGCACTATGCTAGTTGTTTAGTCATTTTCAGTCAGGGCCAACTCTTCATGACACATTTTGGGATTTCCTTGGCAAATATACTGGGAGTGGTTAGCCATTTCCCTCTCCAGCTCATTTTACAGATGAGGAAACTACTTTGCAAATAGATCTTATTTGATTCTCACAACAACCCTGTGAGGTAGGTGCTATTATTATCCTCATTTTACTGATGGGGAAACTGAGGCAAAGTGAGGGTAAGTGACTTGCCTAGGGTCACACAACTAGTAAGTGTCTGTGGATGGATTTGAGCTCATGATTTCCTTACTCTAAGTCTAGCACTCTGTCTGCTGTGCCACCTCACTACCTTGTTCTTTTTTAATGGCCTGCCTTGTCATTACCTTTGTTCTCTGGTCCAGTGTCACCACTCCAGGAACTGAACAGGCAGAAGCAAGAAAAGTTGTCCAAGTATCTGGTTCCCTCATTAAAACACCTGAAGAAATTACTGCAACGTCTGAAGAAGAGAGGCTCTACCTCCAGACCCCAACGCCCAGTGATCAAGGGGAATCTCCCATCGTGCAAGAACCTGAGGAGTTCCCATTAAGTAAGGAAGAAAGCTCTCCAAGGAGCAGTGGTCTTGTCATTGTAGAGTCAGCTGAAGACCAACCACAGAAACTTGAAAAATCTGAAGAGGAATCTTTTGAAAAGGTAACAAGATTCCTCTTTTCTCTACCTTCCAAAAAGCCCAAATCAAATAAACAATGGAAGAGATCTATTTCTTCCAGCTAGAGATTTCCCTTTTAGATGAATGCATTATTTATGTCATAAAGATTTTCTAAATCAATTAAAACCAAGGCACAAGGGAAATAGTTCATAACTTCTAATTTTTTAGAACCAATGCATTTAGAATCATAGAACCTCTCAGTGTCAGGACAGTCACTTGATAGAATCAGACTTGAAATAACCCATCCTTTCTTTAACATCCCAAACAAGTGATCATCTAACCTTCACTGCAAGATCTTTACTGATCAGGATATTAATTCTATGAATTTAGTCATTGGACGAGTACCGAAAATTTCCAGTGCTCAGTGATTAACTGAGTTCTTCATTCTATCTATCTGCATCTAGGTGATTCAGCTTCTGTGATCAGCAATTTCTTTATTTACAAAATGTATAGACTTAAAATGATGATCTAAAAGATCCCATCCAGATCTTAAACACAGTGAGACAATGCCCCAATTCTGTCTCTTTTATCTTAGAAAAAGAAATTATTTCACATATGGACCAGTAGGTCTTGAAACCCAATCAGAGCACTCTTTATTCTCCTTCAGAAAAGATTTTACAAACTTTATTTTTCCCAATTAAAGTGTATTCACTATTTTACTAATAATTAGATATTAATTTTGACATTAAGTACTGCTCCATTGACAGTTTCATGAGGAAAATTCCATGAATAGAAACTATTCCCAAGGAGTTCAATTCATTTATTACTTATAGAGTCTGAGTCTCTGAATTTAGAAAACTACAGCCATTCATTCAATTTATCTTTCACATTGAATCCCCTAAGAGTGAACAAATAGCATTTGAATTTCACAATCTACTCAAATCTCCAAATGTCAACTTGAAGTATGTTCCCAATGACTAAAACATGGCTATGTTTTTCTAATCCCAGTCCCATGACTCTGATGTTCTAATTTGGAAACTGGTTTAAGAAAGGTATTTTCCTTATTTCATGGGATTCCCATTAAGAGAAGCATGAATAAGAGTGTAGTTGCTAGGAGAAATAGACCTGGTAATTTTCTTTAAATGGAGATAGAAGAAACCTTAGCAGCCAATCTCTCATTTTAAGGCGAGGAAACTGAGGACAGGAGAAGAAAGTTAAGTGTTTTCCCAAAGTTACAGAGGAAGGGATGGAGAGTCCAAGTCACTGGGACACAAGTCATCTGAGTCCAAAGCCTATGCTCTCTTCCACTGGCATATTAACCTACCTGAATGTGATTCCTGAGTAATTAATGGTACTCAGGTCTTGTTTTCATATGCATTTATTAAAAATTTCAAACTTACTTTTGTTTTAAAATATCATTCATTCCATTAAAGGAAATAATGTGTTTCCATTCTTGGAAAAAATGGTACAAATACATTCAGAAGACCAGGGTTCAAATCTCAGCTTTGCTATTTAACTACATGTGTATTCTGTGACAAGTTATTTAAGTTATCCAAGCTTCATTTTCTTTATCTGTAAAATATCAGTTTGGCCTAGATGATTTTCAATGTTCATCACTACCCCAAATCTATGGTCCTGGAATGTCACGTACACCAGGAGGTCCCTCCATCACCGAAATCATATCAAGCGTACTTTCCGCAGCCTTCAAAATATTCTCCTGGGCTCAACAGTAGACACATATGACTCACTGAACATTTGTTAAGCAGCAACTCGGCACAATTTTCACTTTACAAATGCAGAAAAAGAGACAGCGTCAAGCCTACTTTTTTTTTCTTGCGAGGCAGTTGAAGTGAAGTGAGTTGCCCAGAGTCACTTAGCTAGTAAGTGTTATGTGTCTGAGGCCAGATTTGAACTCAGGTCCTCTTGACTTTCGGCCGGTGCTCTATCCACTGCACCACCCAGCTGTCCCTTAAACCTACTTTCTTAAAGCCACACTACATTGAAGGAATTCAGTGAGAGTAACTCAGAAAAACTAAGATTTGAATGCTAGCCATGAGTTCCCCATACATTGAACTACACTGCCTTTCTTGGAAAGAATTCCACTAGAAAGCTCAAATTTCTAACAACTATGCCATGCTGCCTGTGGTACTCTATACATAGCAGAAATTCCTATTCATTAAATTATTAATTTTCAGCCTACGTGCAGCTGACCCAATACAAATGTTAATTATATCATTTTGGTTATAGGTGTTCATCCAATTACATACATATGAGACAGTAGCCCCTACCAAAAGCAAAGCTGTCATTTCTTCTCCCCAGATTGTGACAGATGATGCCATAACAACCTTCAGAGTAACAGTTTGATTCCAGATGGCATTAATCAGTCACCATAACCAAAGCCAACATTCTTCCTGGGAACAACATTCATTGCTACAGTTGCCTTCTTTTATGCATTTATATCTCAATTAGAAATCACTTGATGGTTCTTGGTAGACTTTTCTCAAGCAAAGGAATATAATCAGATCCCTGAATAAACACTCTCAAAGCCCAGTGTGAACTCAGGCAGAAACCAGCAGTTAAATAGTGTTTGGCATATTAAACAAAGCCATGCTTCCCTGCTTCCACTAGGAGCTCACCAAGGAATTAGGTGAGCTGGATGTCAGCTCAGATGAGGATGCTATGGTAACCACCAGGGTTGTTCGTCGCCGAGTGATAATTCAGGTACAAGTTCTGAAATTCTTGCACGCGCCTGGGCAGCCTTGTCCAGGTGACCCTCTGAGAGTGGCCCATGGCCCTTTGCGGCAGTGAGGGTTTAGCACGCTCCCTGAATAATGCATGACCATTTGAAAATGAATCCCATCACACTAACAAGTTTTGTTTGGAAAGAAATGTGGTGGTTCCTGCAATCCTAACCTGTTTCCCTAACGTCATATGACAGAGGACCAGGAAGATCTGGTCTCTTCAAAGTCACCAATTTTATGGGCTGTGTATGTTTTTGTTCTTTTTCCTCTAACAGATTTTTCTTGCGCATGTTCTTCCTTTTTTTAATTATCATAACTAAACTACTTACAGGTTTTTGCACCTTAGCAATGCTTCTCAGCTCCTTTAATTTTTTTCTTTTAATTTTACTTTTAAACACTTGGAGTAATTTACTTGAAATGCACACTGTACGACATGGTTCTCTTGGCTATTTAGGGAGATGATATGCCTGACATACCACCAGAAACAGTAACAGAAGAAGAATACACTGATGAATATGGACACATTGTGGTGAAGAAGGTATGATTATTCTTACCTTAACATCTGGGTTTTCACTATCTTTCCCTCTCTAAAAACTTATCCATACCTCAATATTTTAAGGCAAAATTGAGATGCAAACATGACAATGATAATTACAGGTCACCAGAAAGGTCATTAGGCGGTACCTATCCCCAGAAGGCATAGAAAAAGAAGAAATGACGTTGTGTGGCACACTACAGGAGCCTGTGAACATTGAGGAAGGAGATGGTTATTCCAAGGTTATAAAACGTGTGGTGCTGAAGAGTGACAGTGAACAGTCAGAGGTGAGCATATCTCACCCCAAACATCCCAAGATAACTCAGTATATGGAGGAAGAAGAAAGAGAACTCAGAAGGAGGAGGGAGAGACCTGGGGGAGAGGATTCATTGAGATAGGTCCATGTCTGTTTTGTATCTTTTTGACCAGAGTACATTATTACATCTTTCACGTTGTTGTGAAGGAATCATTTTATGTGTTACTTTAATAAACACAGGGAGATTTGTTCTCATTTTTCCACTGTCTGCCCTTGATAATTTGGTTTCCATTCTCCATTCATGTCATAGCCTGACAGCAAAAGTGTAAGAAAAAATTGGAATAGAATGGAGCAGTTGGGTAAACAGCATAAGGAAATTATGCACATATATGTCAGTGATTCTTGTCATTAATCTATCTGCCTTTTCTAGTCCATTTTTGATAAATGGTATTCAGAATTGCTCCGAACTATTTCCAAGAGGATTCCAAAGCTTCTTAAGTGTTGGTTGTGGATATGGGTTTTTAATTTTAGTGTGACATAGTGGATAGAATTGGCTTTAAAGCCTTGGATCCAAGCCCCATCTCTACTGGCTGAGTAACCCTGGGCAAATCTAAGTGCTACTCTTTATATTGTAGAAAAAGTACTCAAAGCTGCAATTTCCTCACCCAGGAATTCCTTATACCAATGAAATCACAGATACTGGTGCTATCCTTGTCTTCCTTCTTCCAAAGGCTCTTGTCAGTTGTCAGGGTGACCTATTGCCTTATTTTTAGGCAAATGAGCCTTCTCCACTTCTCATAGCATAAGAATTCATCCATAATCACACCTTTTGGGGAACGCTATATTATGTTCACACAACCCCAGTTCTGCACTGAAAAATGTAAGTCTACAAATGACTTTTATCTTCCTGTTTTCATACAAACAGTTAAAACCAACCAATTTCTTTCACTGAAATAACTGGTGGTTTTTAGTGTTGTATAAACAACCTTCATCAAGGTCAAGTAGCCCTCAAGTTTCTTATGGATACTTAAAGGTAGTGTCCATTTTGGTCACCACCTTCCTTCCCTTTGTCACTATCATATTATCTAATGAGTAATAAGCATGTGTTTTTTATTGAAAGCATTTTCACTAAAAGGGTGTTAAAAGCCAGTTTTCCTTTGAATTGTTCTCAAGTTTACTAGTGAGTGAAGCTGAAATGCTCTGGTGATTCTCCTGTGAATTTTCCCCACTTGTTCAGGAGACTGACTTAAGTGCAGATTTATTAACAGCCCAGTATGATGGACTGAAATTTTATCCTGTGTGTCCCTCATTTACTAGGTAACTTTCTCTGAGCCCAGTGCTTCACAGTTTCAGTCTGAGCCTGTGGAAGGCCGTAAGGTCAGCAAAGTTGTTAAAACAACGGTGGTACATGGAGAAAGGATGGAGAAACATCTGGGGGATGCTAGTTTAGCTACTGATCTTCCATCAGCCAAAGATGACTTTGAAGAGGTATAGCAGCATTACCATCATCTTTCTGTGTTTTGTATGTATGTGTAATTCTTTGATGATCATGCAATATAATATTATTCAGGATTATGTTATCAACCCTTTTGCCCCATACTTGTCATTTTTAAATGAGTGCTTTTGATTGGAATGGCTTTTATAAAGAAGGTTACAAGTCAAATGTTCATAGTCATTTCAGATATTTGCAAAAAAGAGCTAAATAAAATAATGGGTGTGCTCTATACATAAATCAAAAGTAAGGATAAGATTCATCAAATTCTGGTTTCTGTGAATAAGTAGTTTGGGAATTCACCTACTCCATACATAAATCAAAAGCAAAGATAAAATTCTTCAAATTCTAGTTTTCATAAATTATAAGTTTGAGAATTCACTTCCTAAAAAATTTCTACATTAAACTTGACATATTTTTTTTAAAAAACAATCTGGAAGATGCTAGTTTTAGCTACTGAATTTCCATCAGCCAAAGATGAATTTTTTATGAAAATCCAGACACTTCTTGGTTTTTCGTGTTTAAATGTTTCCTTTAGTTTCACATCCAAATACAGATGGTCAAACTTTACTTCATTTATGTTAGATTTAGTGCTATCAGATGGAATATTGATGCCATAGCATTCTTTGACCTTTTCTTCCATGAAGTTTACAAATGGATGGGCACTTCTAGCTCAGCCAGCAAAAAGAAGGCTGGTTGAGAAATAAATATGTATGTGCCCTCCGTCTACTAAACAGATTAGGTGTGAGGAGAGGGTGACGCAAACGGTTTGTCCATTTAGTTTTTCAGTTTAACTTTGGTGAGGAGAAATATTTTTGCCATCTAGTCACTGACATTCTGGAAGCTCTGCAAACTTTTGATTATCAAAGTGTGGATTGTCCAAGTTACAGACTTATGTCTTTCTTTTTCTTTTGGTTATTTCATTCTTCATTTATGTCACCATCATAGAAAGGCAGTTGGTTGAAGGAACAAATGAAATAGCAGCCAATGTTCAATTGCTCGTGAGCAGTGTAGCTTATGAAGGTTTACAGGGAATTGTGGAGTAATTGGCAAATTCTGTGCACCTCTTATGCCTCCTAATTCAAAGCAATTGGAGTTTGCTGTTATCATTTTTTTCAAGCTAAGAAGAAAATGTCCCACTTAATTAAAAACATAGCTTTACAGTGTAACCCAAAACTTATTTTTTTATTGCCACCCAGTTCTTTTTCCCTTTCCAGTATTTCTGTCCATATTAAATTTGGATTAAAAAAATTTTTTTCATTCAATTTCCTTCAGGAGTTTGTGGCTTAATAATGGGATTTTGTTTTGCATTGCATTTTTACTTCAGGCTTTGAGTTATACAGGTAGCCATGCGAAAGTCCATCTACCCAGTTTAGTAGAAAATGAGATCATGAAAGAGGATGGATCAGTTATTAAAAGGTTTGGTTTGGCATGGTATGATGCTTTTACTATGATAGGGAAATATTAACCAACTAACATTGTACAAAAGATTTTCATGGCAGTAGGGGAGTTGTAATAACAATAGTTGCAATGCTACAGTGTTTTTGTTTGCAAAGTAGAAGATGGTAATGTATTATAATGTCCATTTTGCTGATGGGGAAATGGAAATTTTGAGGTTGAAGTCACATCAATAGAAATAACTAGAGCCAGGATTCATGATCTGGCCAGGACATCTGACACCCAACTCAGCTGATGACCTTTCACATCATAGCTGCTAGATGAAATGCTGACTCTAATTACATCTCAAGGCTTTGGCAAGTCGACATGCCAAGCCCTGTGCTAATAGCTGGTGCTACAAAGACAAAATCATGATAATCCCTGCCCTCAAGGAGCTTACATTCTACAAAAGGAAATAACATGGACATACGTAGTTACACAGAAAATTCAGGTGTTGGGTGATGGCCTAGGAGCCCCTTTCTAACAAAGGGGGCTATATGCTGGACTCACCCAAGCCACACTCAATCCTGGAAGCAGTCTCTCTCCACAGAGGGGTGTGAAGCTTTTCTTCAGTCTCTGGATCATTTCCCTCACCCAGGAGTCCCAGGGACACTTTTCTTAAATAAAGCTTAGATTTGGCTCATACCTAGAGTTGCCCTTAAAAGGGACTAAAGTTTGTTGTTGTTGTTTGGGGTTTTTTTGCTTTTTTTCCAGAAAAATTTCTCAGTGTACAAAGTAGATCCTAGGTAGAGGAGAGCTATTTATTTCCTCCAAAACAAGATAAATGCTTAAACCACAAAAGACTATTGCGTGCATCAATAACAAATATTTAAAAATACAGAATAACCTATTACACTTGAGAGATAAAATCAACTTTGTGGAACCATATCTCTTTTCTATAGCACAGAGAGTGGCCCATTAGTACAATAAGAAATCATGTTGATTGGGAGTCTTCCTAAATATTAGCTTTGTAAAGTACGAAAGTAACACTTTTTAACTAACAAGGTTTAAAGCCTCTGCATGTGAGTGGTGAATAACATGGACCTGATCTTTATTCGCCTTTGACACTTGACTGCATTCAAAGATACTGAACAAAAATTGCAGAATGAATTGCCAGAAACAGCCCATAAAATCAGAAAGCATCACTTGTGCTCATGGCTGTGAATGTGATTAGGGAATCTTTGTTTTTCTTCTGTTTCAATCACTGATTCGCCAATAAACCTTTGATAAATCACTGTATCTTGCTTTGAGGAAGTTCATTCGAGTATTAATGAGATTAATAAAGTACCTCAGTGAAAAGTTACTATTCAAACTCCCATTGCTCTCTGCAGTGATTTAAAACCCATTAAGCAGGCCAAGTTTGCAGGAAGAAATCAGAGGTTCTCTCACTAGTTTCTTTTTCAGCCAAATGTGAAAAGCAGTAGCAGTATCCAGTATCTCACAGGGGTTTTATTTCTGTACAGCTAGATTCTGAGAAGAGCAAATAGTAAATCCCATGAAGTAGCTGCATTATTAGAATTCATACTGAATATTTTCATTGGACTGGAACCAGTGACTATTTTGTTACATAATTTTAACTTCAAATAATATGAATTCAAATACACTCTTTAACATTTTCCCCCCACAAAAAAAAGTGAAGTGATTTGGATTTCTGGAATGTTTAAGATTATCATTAATGAGGTCATTTAGGAGAAACCCAGATAACTCTTGCTCTCTCCCTTCCCTCACCTATACTTTAGAACCATAGAATCTTAAATCTGAAAGAGATCTTAGAAATCATCTATTTAAATCCTTTTGTTTTATAGATAAAGAAAGAAGCCAGGACCCAGTAAGGTTAAGTGACTTGCACAAAATTAGCTAGTTGATTGGCATCAGATGAACTGACCAGCAAAGAGAAATGGGTTGTGAGTGAAATAAGATACTTCAGGAGCTGAAGTGATACAGACCTCAGCAAGAGCTAAGGAGAGCATTGCAAAGACTGTGTGGATAAAATGTGGCCTAGGCGATTAAAATGTAACTTTAAACAATATTTTATTATTGACCTGAACCTATTAATTATGTCCTACTGTCTTTCATCTTTAACACTGAACTCCATGCTCTCTTAATCTGGGATCTAGGATCCCAAAGCTTACTCACCTGTTCTCTTAGGTATCTCAAGCACTGCATTCCCTCTCAGGTTCCCCTGAGTGAAGATGAAATCAAGATGTCCCTGTAGAAAAGGACACAAGTATCTAATTCATCTGTTACCTTTCTGTCACACTTAAAGGATACTATCACCCTTTAGGTCTACCTATGCCCAAAAGCATGCAGGGGTATAAAACAGGAGAATCACAGACTCAGCTGAAAGGGACCTCAGAGATGAGTTTATTTGTTCCTCACCAGGAATCCCTATGAAAGAATAGCCAACAAAGGCCCTTCCATCCTTTGCTGAAAGACCTCCACCCCAGGGGAATCTACAACCTTTTATAGGCAGCTCATTTTCACTTTGAGATATGGCCATAACCATGGTTCATTACTGATTTTTTTTCTTTTGGCCATGTCCTCCTTTGGCTGTCTGATGAAACTTATGGACCCCTTCTCAAAATGCATAAAATAAAATATATAAGATTAAAAAGAAAACCAATTATATTGATATCCAGTTATCAAAATGTTTTAAAAATGCAAGTTCATAGGCCTCACATTAGGATCCCCTGCTTCAAATAGATTAAAAACAGGAAGGGAGAGTTCCAAAGTTACCTTGGTCTTCCATGAAAATTGAAATGAAGCTAGACTTGGCCTTTCTTTAACGAATTCATTCTTTTGCTTCTTGTTTATAAAGTCTTGTCCACTTCATTCTTGTCCAGGTTGGCTTCTAACCCAAAGCTAACACAAACTCTTGGGTCCTTAATCTAACAAAGATGCAGGTTGGTTCTGATTCTGTTCTAAGACCTCCTCCCTAGTTTTATCTCTACTATGGCAAAATTACTTAAAAGGAAGCTTTTCTATCCGACCACCCCAAAGATTCAGTCCCTGGGCTGGCTCATTCTACATTTTAACCTGCATAATCCTTACGATGGTCTCCTTGGCTCTTGCTGAGGTCTGTATCACTCCAGTTCCTGGAGTGTCTCTCCCACCCACAACCCCTTTCTCTATGCTGGTTAATTTACCTGATGCCAATCAACTAGCTAATTCTCAAAACTGGTTTTACTCTTCTGATGAGGACCAATCTCTTCGCCTGATATTCTAGGCTAACACCTGGGCCTAGTTCCCAAATCAAGGGTTTGTTCTGTAAAATTAGGATTTAGTCAAAAGGCCACACTTATGGACCTAGAAGGCCACATGTGGACTTCAGATTGCAGGTTCCCCACCCCTGAACTAGGCGCACTAGATGACCAAAACCATAATCCCTGAAACTCGAATGTGATAAAACAACCCCTTCCCCATAGCCAGAAGCAGATGGCTTTCATTTACTATTTCAAAGCTTGCATCACCTGTAAGAAATCTCTTTGTTATCTAAGGGATTGATTTCTCTAGCACTAAGCTCATTTGCAGAAATGAGATGACTTATATTCCCTGAATTTAGTGAATAATCAATGATTTTCCTAGCTTAGATAATAAACTTCATCCCTTTCCAAAAGGTTATCTTTGATGATCCTTATGTATATGCCCTTCTGATGTCCTATGTTTATACTGGGAACAATGTGGTGAGTGGGCTGTTGTTGTTTTTTTTTTTAAGAACTCCCCCATCCCTCTTCCCCCTTTTGCTATTACTCCACATTCCAGTATGTAATACTGTACTCTGACTTTCTGTTCAGTAAAGTATTACCATGAAAAAAAAATATTCTTGGGGAATGACCACTTAAAATCCTATCATTAAAATCTTAACTTTCCTGCCCAGCCTGATCTCACCCTATTACCTCCTCACAAATTGAACTTCTCTCCACATACCCTGTTGTCTCTCCATTTCTGTGTCTTCAAATGGAGTAAACTGTCCCTCCACTACATATGTCAATGGATTACATAAATAATATATGCCTTATTCACATGTTAAGAACAATAAACAAAAAGTTACAATAATTTCAATTTTGAACTTCAAAAGAAATGCCTTCTAGTTGTTAAATAATGAACTAGAGCTTAGAAAATAGACAAACAGTAATCAGAACCACAACCAGGGTTTTATCAGGTACTGATATTTAGATGGCGCTAGTATCATTTAAAACAACACAGCATTGCACCTAGTTGGTAAGAGTAATTAAAGGACAAGCTCTTCCCTGGCTTTGACTCAACTCATGACTCCACTGCTTCCCACACCCCATCAGGGCTACAGCCCCATGGTTTTTCTATCCCTACCAAAGGTGGTGTTCCAGGGTCAGGAGGTCACGTCTTGTACTACTTGCCTCTAATGGTTAGTTAAAACTGTAATAATGACTAATAATTGTATATTCATTAAAGGTGTATTATGTCAAGTTCCATATTTAAGGCTTTGTATTTATATATGGAAATCACTGTAGCATGTATATGCATGAATTAATAATATAGGGGCCATCAACACTTCAGCAAATTGAAACCTAGAGTCTTCATCCTTCGGGGTGTCACTCAGTCCCTTCAAAAAACCTCTCCTAGGTTAGAAGAAGTGTGTGGGTCCTAATATTGATATAACCCATACTACCTTTCTCTTTCTTTGTCTGTCTGTCTGTCTGTCTGTCTGTCTGTCTGTCTCTCTCTCTCTCTCTCTCTCTCTCTCTCTCTCTCTCTCTCTCTCTCTCTCTCCTTCCCTCCCACTCCCTCTTCCTCTCCCTCTCCCTTTTCCTCTGTCTCTCTCCATATATATCTATATATACATACATACATACATATATAGATAAAACAATAATGTAAATACAGGAACTATTTTTGTGGAATTTTGATCTCTTTACATTTACTTATGAGCATATTCTTTATTTTTCAAGATTCAAAAAAAATCACTGACTTATCTTACAAGTGATGAAATTAGCCCAACTCCTTCATTGAACACTGAGATCCTGTGAATTTTAGTGATTTTCTGATGATAGTTAATGGCCAGGCCTGACTAGAATTCAGGTTTTTTGGTTCACATTTCAGCCCAGTGTGGTTTTCATTAGTTACTAGTAAACTTAGCTGTCTTTGAATGAAAAAGAAAGAGAAAGAGAGACAGAGACAGAGAGACAGAGAGAGACACAGTGAGAAGGGAAGGAGAAAGAAAGAGGCGAAGACCCAGATACAGAGAGAAAGAATTACAGGGAGAGACAGAAACAATAATTCTTTCCTTCCTCTTTCCCTTCAGGACAACAATGAATAAAGCCAGGACACAGAAGAGGACTGTAGTAAAGGACCAGCATGGAAAACACATTCACTTGGAACAGCTGAGGATGTACCAGAAGCATTAAATCCGGATGACCTCCAGCATGACCTCCAGCAACTTCTTAGACATTTCTGTAGGGAGGATTGGAAGCATGAGGCCAAATGAAAGACTGCCCACATCTTATACAAGAAAACTACATACCTACTTAGTATGCAGCTTTCACTTTCTTCACTAGGTATAGTGATCACAAATTGCCTAATTAATGGGATACACTGGCATTTCTACTTCTATCACACACTTGCTTTTGGTTTTCTTTTTCTTTCTCTTTTCTTCTTTCTTTTGTTTTTAACTGTAAGCCAATTTGTGACCAAAGATAGTATCCTTCATTCTGGATGGTTTATTCACTAAATTGTTGACTTTGGGCTCTACTGGGAACTCACCACTTCAGTTGTTCCTTTGCTTCCGAGCTAGTTCCATGAGAATCCATTGATCCGGACAGCACCATCTGCAGGCCTCTTTGAGTGACCATGTACATGTTCTGATGAAAAGAATACTTCCACAAACTGTACATAGCTAAAGTGCTTGAACTTACAAAACTTTAAAAGAAAATGTCTATCATGACTACATTTATCATCCTGGAATAAAGGGTTTATAGAAATTGCTGAACAATGATTAATAAAGATATTGCTAACACAATCGACTGAAAATACAGATCTGCTGCAAAAGCGCCCTTCCGACCTACCTTGTCTATAGGACTTCCAGCTTAGTGATCTCTCACCATGAAGGGCTGTAAGGGTCAGGTGGAGATCACCTTCAAGTACAGCCCTTGCTGCAAAGTGCCCGCTGGCTGTGCCCAGCTACACTTTAAGACTCTCTAACTGCCACTTAAAGAATTCTGGGGGACAAAACCAATGAAGGAACTAAAGAAAACGATTAAATAATCAAATCTCTAGCAGCTAAACTACATCCTATGGCACATTTGAATTTTGAAATCCTTCCAACTGGGACTTGTGGGCAGGGTGTATTAAATAGATATAACACAGTTGTTTTTTGTTCTCACTGCTTTAGCAAACCACATTGTCTTACTGGTGGTACCTTCTGCTGGCCACTGCACTGTAGATAACTCAGTGGGAAACAAGGTTTACTCACTAGATATAAAGTTAAACTCTTTCACCATGTTTGTTTGTTTGTTTTTAATTTTCTGGATTGCCTCTTCCCAGATACATGCATGTGGCATTTAAAAATTCAATCCAAGAACAAAAACCCTCTTGTAATCATGTTGAGAGCTTATCATCCTTTCCTCTTAGCACTGAGTGATCAGTTTTGAACTTCAGATTGGCACTGTTTTTCTGTTTGCAGATGAGGTTCAGAAAATTTGATTTTGGTTAGTATTTTCAGTTTATTTGTTTACATTTTTGGCTAACATGCTAAGACTTTACAAGAACATTTCTGCACTTTTTGTTTGGTTTCAAAGAAGGGAATATAAAATCGGAGAAATTTCCATGTCCTATACCTTATTCTTCTAGTGGTTGGAGCTGTGTAGTATTTTAACATATATATGCAAATATCTACATATAAACAATATACATTTTGAATCAGTTATTTGATAAAGTGTATTCAAAGATGAAGGAAAAAAAATGAGTCAATCCTCCACGGACTGAAAATTTTCCAATCCTATCTGGTCTTTTCCTGTTGTGGGGAAAAAAAATGACTCACTCTTTGTTCTGAAAGTAAAAAAAAAAAGGCTGCATACAATGGCATTTGATCATTAAAGTAATAATGCCAAGAGAAAAAAATAAAAACAACTTTTTTGGGGGAGGCAAAGTTGCTGAGAGGCCAAACCCCTAAGACTCCCGTACTAGCACTTTTTGGCAGTCAGATAGGGAATAAAGTGTTCTTTGGCAGTCAAAATGAGAGAGATCCAGGGTGGAACATTTAAGATGCACCACGGATTTCTTCTTGTCAAGGACAGCATTGGTTGACCTTTAACGGAGCTCAAGAAAGCATTTCTGTTGTGTTTTTTGCGGTGCAGATGATGTCTGTGTAACAACATAATGGTTATTCACCTTTTTTGATTTTGGTTTTTTGCTGTGTTATCAAAGAACTTGAATACTGTGAGAAAAAAAAAGTGAATTTTAAGTTGATGAATCAGCATCTTGTTCCCATGGTGATAACACCAATTGAATATATCTATGAGGGCATGTATTAGTTAAAGGAAAAAAAATTCAACACTAACAACACATAGCTGCAATGTGTACAATGGCTGATTTAATTAAATAAAATGTACAAGTGTTAAATGTAGCAAGAGTGATTTGTTATTCTTCAGTGCTCCCTTTCCTCTCCAGGAGACTAGTATCTTGTTATAGAGCTAGGAGATCAGTGAGTAGGGGGAAGAGTTAAGTTGCTTTTCCATATTATTGTTCAAAAGACTACAGAGAGTTACTCATGTCACTCTGAAGGTGGAAAAGCCTTCAATTTGGAAGCAGCTACGAATTATATCATCACAGCAATGAAGATGAGGAGGAGGAGAAGAAGATGGTGAGGATTTTTTAACAGCTGGGACTGTGGATGAAGAACTCTGAACTTTCCTGAACTCACCACTATGGGAATGTCCTCCACCATGGGATTTGTTTCAATAGCTGGGTCGAAGGGAATACTATCTCTTAGGCACTGGTTCCCAAGAGCAGGGTTTAGAAGTTTTCTTTTCTCTTGGGCTGTGGCTGTTCAGTTCCTTCATTTTACCAACTTTAAACGACTACCTAGCATACTGTTTTGTTCATGGTAGATGCCAAATAAATGTTTGTGGTTGTCACATTCAAAATGTAATTGAAATAGTCATAGATCAGTAAGGTCTAGTTCAAATTCGTATTTTTGGCTTGATAATATTCATTACTTTAATCACACAAAGTCCACACTTAGACAATTTGGTTTATTTCTCAGGTGTTTTCCAAATTCATCTAAGCTATGAATCTTGGTAACTAAGTGGGATCAAAGAATTAAATACCGTTCCAAAGGAGCAACTTTTTTAGGGCCTTTGAAATAAGATAAGTCCTTGATTTGTTCCATGCCCCTTACTACTTGTGGGCACTTTCTGAATGGTGGCCTGCGGCTCCTTAATGTTAGTGAATATGGTCTAATGACAGAGGCCATTTGATGAGCTCTCTGCTCTTAGCCTTTTTCTCACTTCAAAATGATGGTTGTGAAAGAAGCCCTTGTGAATAGCATGCTCTTTTAAAGAGCTATATTAGGAAAAAGGAAAGGGAAAACAACCTTGGGAATGACAAAGTCCAGCTCAGAGATGAATAAGGTCCCACTGGAACAAAGAGGTCTAAATGACATGCAGTAAATGGAAAAGACCTTGAATTGAGCTTGGATTGCCTGCAGTCACTGTGGGCAAAAGCTTCCATAGAGTCATCCTAGTTGGGATTATTTATAACAGACTGGGGAAGGGGCTAAGTACTTTCTAATATATGAGCCCACGAATAAAGGTGTTTAGAAATATGGAATACTTTTGAAGAAGGAAAATACTGAAGGAGCTCTTTTTGCATGGTGGTTTAGTACAGTCTGTTATCAATCAATGAATAAGAGGAAGTCGTTGTTTCTGATTCTTTGTTAGGGTTCTGTCATCTTCTTCCTCTTTTTTTTTTTTGGTCTGCTTTATTGACATGGGTTCAGTTTAGGGTCACAAAGGGATAGAGTTGATAATTGAAAATCCTCCCACTCCTAAATTTCTCTCATACTTGTTTCTCCATTTGATGAATATTATATCATCCTATCTAGTCCTAATCTATATCATTCCTTCCCCCGACAGTTCTCAAATGACCACTTTTTATAGACCCCTCATAATTCCCATGGAGTCATACCATAATGGATACTGCCCCCTCCAACACACCCCTGTGAATTGGGTTTTTTTTTATATTATTTTTTAAATTTTTTAACATTCTTTTTTTGAATTACAAACCCCCCCTTTCACCCCTCTGCCCACTGAGAAGGCAAGCAATATGATACCCATTATACATATTATGTCATTGTGCATTAAGTTTTAATGTTTTTATGCTACATTTTGTAGTCAGCCCCTTTCCCAGCTTCCCTTCATTTCTTAACAGCTGGTATTAGTTTTCATTATTACATTTTTCTATTACTCTGTACTCTATTACTCTGTTGCCTTACAGTATGTGGCAATGAAACAATCTGTTTAAGCACATGAGTTGTTGATTTTTATGAGGTAACCATATGTATGCATGTATGTGTGTGTGAACTCAGTCATGACTGACTCTGTGACCCCACTTGGGGTTTTCTTGGAAAAGATACTGGAGTGGTTTGCTATGTCCTTCTCCAGCTCATTTTAGAGATGAGGACACTGAAGCAAACAGGGTTAAGTGACTTGCCCAGGATCACACAGCTAGGAAGTGTCTAAGGCCTGATTTGAACTCAGGTTTTCTTGAGCCCAGGCCACTGTTTTTACTACGCAATTCTAGTAAATGTCTTTGCTAACAGCTCTTTGTGTCTCCTGGATGATTTATAAGGGAAAACACACTGGTGTGGCCTTATGAACTACAATATAAATAGTGTAAACTCCACAGAACCTGAGGTAGAAGCCATCTCCTGGAGACCTAATCCACAAGCATGAGTGCAGGCAGTAGCATAGAAGGGACCCTAATAATGTTGCTGACAATGCCATTTTCTTTCCTTTATTTTCCTCTTGTCAAGGCTTAGTCACTGGGTGACTAACAGGAATGCCTTTTATTGAATTGGCCAGATTTCTATTTTGCCTTGACAAAAATATCCAAAGCGGGATAGTCAGTACACACTAGGGTGCAGTCATGGCTTGCTGACAGATTTCTTTGAAACTCTAACTACACTTCCTGTGCACACATACAATTTGAACTGCTAGGAAGTGAAAACATCTATTGTTACTTGCCTGCTAATCAAATAACAGGAGAGAGAGACAGAGAGACAGAGACAGGGAGAGACAGAGACAAAGACAGAAAGAGAGACAGAGACAGGGAAAGAGGCAGAGAGAGAGACAGAGACAGAGAGAAAGAGAGAGACAGACAGACAGAGAAACAGAGGGAGACATATGGAGACAGACACAGACAGAAAGACAGAGAGAGAGAGAGAGAGAGAGAGAGAGAGAGAGAGAGTGTGTGAGAGAGAGAGAGGGAGAGAGACAGAGAGACAGAGAGACAGACAGAGATGAAGAGACAGAGAGAAAAAGAGAATGTGTGTGTGAGAGAGAGGGAGAGGGAAATAGAGACAGAGAAGGAGAGAGAGAGAGAGAGAATAAGAGAGAGAAATGAGACAGAATGAGGGAGAGAGGGAGATAGAGACAGAGAAGGACAGAGAGACAAAAAGACAGAGACACAGTGACAGAGAGTGTGTGTGTGAGAGAGAGGAAGAGAGACAGAGACAGAGAGATAGAGTGTGTGTGTGTGTGAGAGAGAGAGAGACAGACAGAGAGAGATAGAGGGAGATAGATAGAGAGAGAAAGAGAGAGAGAGAATGTGTGTATGAGAGAGGAGATAGAGACAGAGGACAGAGAGAGAGAATAAAGAGAGACAGAGATAGAGAGAGAGAATGAGACAGAATGAGGGAGAGGTAGATAGAGACAGAAAAGGACAGAGAGACAGAGAGTGTGTGTGAGAGAGAGGAGAGAGACAGAGAGAGACAGGCAGAGACAGAGAGAGACAGAGAGAGTGAGTGAGTGTGTGTGTGTGTGTGTGTGTGTGTGTGTGTGTGTGTGTGTTAGAGAGAGAGAAAGAGAGAGAATATGTGTGTGAGAGAGGGAGGGGGAGATAGAGACAGAGAAGGACAGAGAGAGACCAAAAGAGAGAGAGAGAGAATGAGACAGAATGAGGGAGAGGAGATAGAGACAGAGACAGAGGGACAAAGAGACAGAAACAGAGAGAGACATACAGAGAGAGAGAATGAGAGAGAGAGAGAGAGAGAGAGAGAGAGGAGAGAGGAGAGAGAGAGAGAGAGAGAGAGAGAGAGAGAGAGAGAATGAGATACACTGAGGACCTGGATTCACATCCCACTTATGATGAAGTGACTTTGGGAAAATCATTTAACCTTCCTGATCCTCAGTTTCATGATCTGTAAAATGAGTGGGTTGACTCGATGACATTTGAGGTTCTACGTAGTATAAATCTATAATTCTACAATCTCATGACACTCATTAAAAAAGGTGAGAAAGTAGAAGAGACAGTGTGCAGTATAAAGAGTGCCTGGATCTGGTTTTAATCACGATTGCCATTTACTACCTGAGTGACCTTGGACAAGTAACTTAATCTTGCTGGGCTTCAGTTTCTTCATCTATAAAAGAAGTAGATTGTATTTGAGAATCTTTATGGTCCCTTCCACCTCTTAATCTATAATCCTTACTTGTGGACACAAAGGAGATGATTTTTTTAAGGAGAAGAGGTGAGTAAAGGGTTAGAAAAGAATACCAAACTGTGATGTTTCATAGCAATTTTTCTCATTCAGCTGAGGTGGAGTGAAATGAATGGCTATCCACATTAGTGCTGGCAGCAGGTCTTTAACAAAGAAAGGAATTCTGTGTCCACTCAGCATGTCCATTCTCTATCTCTCTCGGTCTGTTCACTTTACCTAGACTCCCTATGAAATCCCAAAACTTTATGATGCTGACTCACTGGATTAAAATGAAATCACATTAAGCTAATCACATGAATTGCTTCCTCCCTAGGAGACAGGGTTTTTCAGCCTTCTAAATATGGGTTTAAGAAGTTAGTTCTACAAGGTTTATACTAGGAGTCCATCTGCAGGTGGCAGCAGCTGAATACATTGTTTCATCAAACTAGGAAGTAGAAAAAATAAGGAGAATGTGATTGTAAGAGCATTTCTAGCTTTGATGATGCCCTCCGCTACCCCAGAGCCCTTTAGCATCCCTTGTGTCGAAGAGGAGAAGAGGAGAGAAAACACTGAGGAAGGATGGAGCCCAGTTTCCTCTGTTTGATCCAAACAAAAGACAGGTCTTTGCCCAAGACTCTATCATATCCTGCTCAAAACCTGAAAAACCTCTGGAGTGAATCCTTCTTACTTAATCCTTTCTCTAGAGAAAAGGTCATTGTTATCATAAATAGCAACGCCATTTCCATCAAAGTCCAGGAAGAGATAATAGTTGACATTCCCATCTATAAAATAAAGTATCCTACTAGATGACATGTCAGATCCTTTCCAGCATGAATTTTCTATGTTCTAAGATTATTGAAGATCAATGAATTTGAATATAATAAAATAAACACTCGTGTGGCAGCGAGGTGGCACAGTGGATAGAGCAC